AAACAGACGTAACATCCTGATACGTAAAAATAAGTCGAATAGTAAGATAACATACTACTTTACAACAAGCGACCAGACCACAATTAGGTGTTTGGTGTACCTAATCACGTTCAGCCCACCTTCAAAGATGTCACGGATATTCAGGGTATGACAATGCTGTTACCTCTGGCACTTTTATAAACAAAGGATATCAACCAAGTAAAATCAGAATGCATTCGAGAAAGAGTTACAGAACTATTTATTTCAAATTGTACATCTCTCGTGAGAACCTTAAAAGACCAGTTTCACGGAAAACACAAAAATCGTTATATTGGACGACAACTCATGGAAACCACTCTCCATATTCAAGGAAATTATAACAAAATCAACTATGCTCGCAAAACAATGACTTCCAACCACATTCTATTATCACCTTGGGGACATTCCGCTAAATAATTTTGAGAGTCTTATAAGAATGAGTGAACAACGCTTGACAACGCTTTTCATTCTTCTCAAGTTGGTTAACAGACGCTTAATAGGGTTATAGCATTTTCGACACGGAACTCTTAGCTATGTATTGCGTTGTAAGGCACTTTCAAACCCTGTGAATGGCCGAGAATTTGTTATTTGGGTACGACATGCCACACATCCCTCTCAACTACTAGCGCGCTCAGACCGGACGTTTCTCGACACATCGAAAAACTTCCAAATGTGTCCTCGAGCTCATTTGTTCTTGACTACTGCTACTTAGTTAATATCCTTCGGTAATGACGATAACACGGGTAAAAGCATTGTCATACTCTAAATATCTGTGATACATTTACGTCGATAAATACTTATCAATGCGCAATTTCTTGACTGTGACCGGATCTTGGTAAATTTTAATGGCTACCACTTTTTTTCTAGAATGTGGATACCTCAAACGTTGGTGTCCATGATAATTAATAAGGCCGGTCCTCGTTTGAGGTTTATAAATGTATAAAGTAGTGCCGTGTTTTCAGAGTTGTTAGACAACATGGGATAGATACTGGAAGTGGGATTATTTGTTCAGAGTTGCCACAGAAAAGACGGAAAAACTTGAAACCCCTGAATACGTCTTAGTTGGAAAGTTTGTGCAGAATTTCTTGAGACGATATGCAAGCGCAATATTTGTACAACCCAAGAGTGATGAAGAACTCCATTTTGTGAATTTCGTCTGTAGCCATAGGAAATTGGTTACACGCTCTAACCAAGTCGACTTTTGAGAAAGTAGTTTTAACTCCGAACATAATTGTCTGTCCGCGAATGCGCGGCAACAGGTAACCATATGATGATTTGTTTTTGGTCATAGACTTTGGATGTTTGGAAATATAATGTGTTTAGGAGAAAAAAAGGGATGGAATGAATATCTAATGTGTCGAGGGATCATTCATGATGATGATAACAACAATAATCATTGGTAATAAACATAAGCAGACTTCACTTATTAAAATGAACAGAAAAAAATAAAAGAGGGAAGTTCCAAAGATTATACTTTGCTTTTCAGTCAGTTGAATAGTTGGGGAACCTTGTTTGTATAAATCAGTATTAAACGCAATGACATTCAATAGGTGACACAATTCACTTTCGGAAAGAAAGTCATCAATGAGACTTCTGAACCGGGTTATAGGTTCACTGCAACGGAGGTTCACTGGTAATCTGTTCCACATCGTTGGGTATTAAATAACGACAAAACTCTGGCGAAAGTTTGTGTACGTTCTATAATATTTCACTTATTGCGTAGGTACGAAGGCGTGGATGACCACTGGTTATATTCACAGGCTTAGTGTAGCATAATACAAAACGGACGATTTGGCTACGCTCTTCTAAATTAGATTTAAGTCAAGACTAAAAAAGGATTCCGTATAAAAAATGAAGTAAGTTTTAGAATTTTGTGAGACACTATCGAAGGCCTACTAAAATCCGAGTACAGAATTATCACTGACTGACTAGCATCCTTACTCTGGGTAATTTGATAAAACATTCCAGGTGAGATGTGAAGCATGAACGTTTAGTCATAAACCCATGTTAGGACGAGCCAATCACGCTAGCCAGAAGTAAAAATGATAATAGATTTTGTGGATAATGTCAAGTTAATATCTCTACAAGATCTCGTCTTGAATCTAGGGGTGACGAGTAATGAACAGGCTCTATAGCCCATAGATAGGTCAAACAGTTTTAAATAAAATAATGTGAAATCCGTACTACCATGTTTTACAAATGACGAAGGAATCCCGTCACGTCCACGGTTATAGGACTTTTTCAGGGAAGCTATGGTCTGCTTGATGTTAGTGTATATGGAATCAATTTTGGATAGATGTCTAAATGTCAACATTGGAAACGCATTGACAGACGATTCGGTTTCAGTGTTTTAGCATTGCGAGAAATGCTCGCTAAATCGTCCACAAATAGTATCAGGATCGTCAACAATGCTTCCATTAACTATGAAGAATTTGGTTGTCATTTGAATTCGATTTCAGACAGGATTTTAAAAGCCGACGTATCGATAACTCTGGGCTTTTACGACCTAGGGCTTTATTCTCCATAGTCATAAGATACTTGCGTTTAAATAAATCATTTCTGTCGATCAAGTCAGGTATACTGTGGAGTGCATACATGTCATGACGCTTGTGTCAGAAGTGTTTTCATTTTCTCAGCTTTCTCTTAAAACGTTTAGGAGTATTCTAGCCCCTATTAGCGCTTTAATTAATTGGAACAGTGCAGTTAAGTCAATATCTCAGATTGTGATATAAGTCGGAAAGCGCAGTGTCAATATTATCTGTGGTGAAATAAGGTTCCCATGGTAAACATGGAATAATATTTTCAATGCGTGTCCAGGTGCATTTTTTCAGCTTCAGAGTTCAATTTTACAGTATTTAGAAAATGAATAATACTCAATGCATTTCTATAATCACTAATTAAAACTCATGACTAATGTGCACTGAGAGTCTATGTTAATTGCAAATACTGAATCAAGTATATTATTCGTCATAGTCGGCTTTCAGACTTGTTGAACCTATCCACAAAGTTCTTATTTTTAAAATAACTTGTTATATTGACCTGGTACCGAAGTCGAACTCCATGCAGTTTTTGGCACATTAGAATCACCTTCGATGGTTTTAAACGTATACGGTTGGTATGAAGCAACAAAAAGTACGTTTGTTAGTAATTTATCAAAGATAGTATCCGCATGATGTGGTCTGTATATGCAACCCACCAGTAGATAATTTTGAAATCCACAATTAACGGTATAGCAAGTGGAGTCATCTACAGCATCAACGCATTCATTGCTAACTTTGCACTCCCAAATGTCCGAACGGATGTAGATAATTGTACCGCTTCTTATTCGATGACGTCTATCGGTCCGATAGAAAACTTGGTTATTTACGTTCAGGAAGTGATCGGCCATGAGTGGTTTGCACCAGGTTTCCGTAATAAGTACAATGTTTGGATCTACAAGGAACACAAACGTTTTGAGATAATAATTTTGTTGGACAGAGAGCAGGCACTGAACGAAAGAATAAGAAACTGAAGGGTATCCTGAAGAATCAGGTTAGAGTATAAATCACCAGTATTAGTTCTATGAATATTCGTGGGACTGGATAAGGTAAAAATTGTGTTGTGAGGCGTGCAGGTTCAACAACTTTGCCATCATTTGTGATGTAATTACCGTCGCCAGTAAAAAAGCCAACGAAATTCCAAAAACGTTCCCCTGGTTTATATTGATTGGAATATCTGATAGAGACATAATGTACATATTGGGAGTCGGGCCAAAAAGGCTATCAGGCCTATATGTGTGGCGAGCATCAGCGATGACGCGATTCATGAGAGACATTTAAAGCAGTAGTTAAGTGACCCTGACCAGGAGAGAGCTGGGTGGAGAATACTGGTTAGCGGACTATGCTCGTCCATGAGGGGTAGCAGGCATAAGTGACTATTCAATTCCATGCGTATTGTCAGTTCCACAGGATGTATATCCTTTGAAGTCTCATCGCATACAAATGATGGTCGAGGCCAAACTCCCATTGGCCTCGTATGTTTTGTTGTCTGACTATATAATTACTGATGTAGGAGGCGATGTGTCTCTTGGCTTTAGCTTGCATGAAAGCTGATGGTGGCTGCACTAGTAACACGGCCAGAGAATAATGTGTCAGTGTAGTACGTGTTGTGACGAATGAACCAAGTGTCCGACTGTGAATCATGGAAATGGAAAAACGCCCTAAAAACGGGCAATCAGTGAAATACCACTGGATATTGGTAGTCACGATTCTAACGTAGTACTTAAATGCACGGACTAAACCGTCACCGTTTCAAGTAGTCTCGATGTGGCTGTCATGAATGACAGGAAACGGACGACTGGGTGGAGACAAAGAAGAGAGGGAAGAAAGCCACAAACGGCACCCATTTGGTTGAGGAGTCTTTGGTAGACTATGGTTGTGCGTAACAATAAACCACCAAAACCCAAAAGTAAGATGGAACTTAACCTTAGCGTGGCTCTAACAATCTCAATCACATCGAATATTATTGTAAATAATTTACTGGAGTCAAACGATCATGATTTAAAAATTGGACGCGTGCATGATTTCGAAAAGATCAGAGGCCTGGTCTCACATAACGAGCAACTTCTTATAAGTATGTACTGAGTATTAATGGTCTGAAACATGTAAGAAACTGTTCCACACTTGGTGACCTGACTGCCTGATGATTTGGCCAAAGTTCACTGACATTTCGGTGTCTCTATAAGCTAAAGAATCGTGTATGGTTGTTTTCAGTCGGGCTATTTAGTTACCCGACGACAAAATTATTCAAACAATATTTCGGAATTTGTTACGTAGCAATGAACAACTCATGAAGAACATAGTTTATGGTGTTAGCAACTACTTTGATGGTTTTCAAACATCAGCAGGCTACATAAACATACAGACAGCTCAGAACCATGTTAGCATATACGAACGCAACCAATCACAAGTACTTCAAGTACGAAATGCTCGCTGGCATTCAGGGCGTTCAAGGTCGTGTTAGGAAAAGCGCGGTCGAGTTTAGGAGTAGGTTACTTCTGAATGCTGAAATCAGTTGATGAGTTTATTTTAGAGTACATCCAACTATGGAGTAAGAATAACAGATGCTTGATATTAGATTTTAGTTCATCTGATGTTAGTTGGGTAGAGATTTCCTACGTAGGATGTGACGAGTCCTTCAATATTCGGCTCCTGATGACTGATGGATACTTCACTACAGTATGTATTCGAACACACACATCTTGTTTTAAACCCAGGGTCTTCCTTAGACTGAATAATCACTCATGCGGCCGAGGATATTGCCTACCTAAATGTTCTCACTCTGTTTGCAATGGTGGCCATGCTGTCTCATCATTTATGTTTAGAGGTTGTAACGTAAGCATGGTCTATATTTAAAAGTACGGTTAGTTTAGTTACGTCCACCATGGATAACCGAATGGGTCATGAAACTCAAACTTAGGAAAAAGCTGCGAAGTATGTTTATCTCTTCAGGTTCTGAACAGTACAAAACCATTTATTGTAAAACTAGGGACGCTCGCGAAGCGTCGACAAGTAAGGCTAGACATTCATATGAAAAACAGTCGGGTAAAGGTTGTGAAAATAGCCTATAAAGGTTATTGTCGTACATAAATAGGCAAACTTGGAGAAGTAATGAAGACTAGCACTTTTGATACAATGAAATCCGTCAATATTGGCAAGAAAGGATGTTGCAAAAGCTGAAGCCTTATCAGAATATTTTAGTAATGTGTTTTCTACCGACGATGGTAAAATACCAACAATAAGTTGTAATAGTGTTAGTTTGTCGATAGATCCTGTGGTTACTGATGAAAAATTACTTCAGCATGTGGAACCAGATAAGTCATGTCTTCAGTCTTCAATAATAAGGATAGTAGGTTGATGAACCTGTGTTAATCCTGACACATTGCTTTCCAATGAAGGTCCAGCTTTTCCTTGAAAGTATTCACTGATGGGGCTGATACCACTTGTTCGGGTAAGGCGTTCCAATCATTGACTACTCGATGAGAAAAACGGGACCCCACTTTAAGTTTATTAGATCGTGGTTTATGAACCTTCTTGCTATGACCTCGGAGATTATTAGTGCTGGAGGGAGCAAAAAGATAAGACCCGTTAGTCTGACCAGTGTTGTTGTCAAACTAATAGGAAAGATTATTCAGGTGGCCATTTTAGACTATGTGAAAGGATACACTTTTATTTAGGCAACAACATCGTTTTGAGAAAGGCCTATCATGCTTAACAGTACTGCTTATTGCAACAGAAGATTGGGCTGCAGCTAAAGATATTCCTGTAGATGTGATTTCCATAGATCCAAGTAGAGCCTTTGACAAAGTCTCTCGTCTGGGGGCTATGTCAACGTGGTGGTTTGTAAGAAATGGAGTCCTTGCTTCAAGTATGAGACAAATATTCTAGAAGGAGTTCAACGGCGAGGGAACGTGATGGTAAAAGGTATCTTTAGTCTATCTTATGAAGACCGACTACGACGTCCCAGCTTGTTTCCGTCATCTTGCCGCAGGTTACAGGGTGATCTACTACTGACCTATCGTATATTAAATGATGACCTCGGTTCTAACATGACTTATCTTTTCTTCCCGTTTAGGATAGATCACCTGAGAGGACATTATAAAGAAGTTCAAAAACCGCGATAAAATATTTTACATCTGCAATTCCTTTTTCACACAGAGTAGTGAATTACTGGAATTCTCTACCAGAACACGTAATATCAATATCTTCTGTTCATTCATTCAAAGCGAAATCCAACCTCCACAGCGTTACAAATTGCAAGGATTAATATAAGTCAATAGACCTGTCTTTACTACTGAAGACTGAATTTACTAAGTATGGTATGTACCTTACATTTTCGAAATGCATCTTTGTAATATTGATAGAAGCCCATACCTACACACCCTGTTGTTAGCGTTTGGAATTATTCTAAACATTCGTGTCTGAGTGGTTGTGTGTTGATGGTGGCTTCTGAACCACGCCTTCCTTGTCGATGATAGGAGTAAAGCAAAGAGTTAGTTAGCTTGTCACATGGCTTCCTAGTACAAGCGATACCATGGAGGATTAGTTTCTACTGGACCATCGCGGGTTCTTAACTTAAATTTTTAGGGATCAGATAGCTCATTTGCTTCTGATATCGTCAGACAACGATCAGAACAAAAGCCAGTGGCCGGTCTCGTGGCTTTTTATTGCAGTCTTCATACGAATGAGATGAACCTTCCTTACCAGACGAAATCTATTACAGCTGTTTCTCAACTAAACCGTACCTTATATTAAATTCTGTTTTTTTATTTACTTGACCTTCCCTATTTTTTCAAAAATTATCGCTTCACTCTATGTGACTTAGTCTTGGACTATCCTTTTGCACTAAAGTTCTCCAAGCGTTGAATAAATACTGCTACATAATCACTTTGTATTCACAGATAATTCGTTGCTATATCTCTCCAGGACAAAAAATGTCCCCCAAGTTCGTACTTGCCGAAAAATAAAAGGTTCTCAGACAATATTTGTAGCAAATAGTTCTGTTTATCCTCTGTCTCTAGGTACCAGCACTTCCAACTAAATGTCTCTTAACTTCACGGAATAGGAGTGAAGTTACGTGGGGATTATTTCTTAACTGAATAAATAATTCCTAACATTCTGATCAGAGCTCACATAACCCAATTTCATCAAATAGCGCATTGGCAACTATTGACTAGGATTCAGTTTGGAAGTATCCCTTTGACTTTAAATGAATGCTACCACGAAAATTCGCTCTCGAACCAGAGACGCACACCGTTTATCCAAAGTTTAGTGAATAATACTCGTGCGAGTTTCAAGGACACTGGAATTCCTTACCCGTCTATTGTGTTAACGTTTCTGAAAGCTGTCTAATTTCCGATCCTCTTTCTTAATGTATTCCCATTATCTTTTATCTACCTAGCATTGAATCACCAAGTTACTTTTTCTTGTTATACAGATCTAAAAATGGAGTACATTGACAAACTCCCGGATGAGCTTTGCTGCAAGCCCAAACCTCTCATCGTATTTTCCGGTTTGGATACGGAAAGAAATCAAGTCCATCGGTCTATTTGGAGAGCCTTCAATACTAGTAAAAGCCATGACCGAGATTCATTTAAATTTCGCTGCAAGTCAGTCGACCACCAGTTTCCAAAGCCGAAGTACAAGGTTTGTTGTTCGTTTCAATCGATGTTTCTTAGAGTCTTGTTGTGCAATTCGTTATATGATTATTAGGAAAGGTTTGGATTATCCTCATGTTAATATTCGTCCCAAATGGGACGAAATGTGCTTGTCTTATATAAGTTGGTTATATGCTTTCTTATTTTATTGGTGGAATAGCCATCGTCATGAAGTAATGGGTATTGGTTGTAATCGCTTTTATTTTCCTCATTTCAGCATTTTGATTGAAATAGTAAAACACTCCAATATAAAGTCAAATACATTTCGTATCGAGTTTCACATAATCTCTTATAAATGATCCCATCCATCTACTGTTGGTGAAATGAATTTCCACGGACATAGGCGTTGAAATTGTTCGATCAAAACAAGTAAATATGGTTTCCATAACTAGCTAGCTTGATAAGATTCTTGTAGTTCGAGTTCATAGTTCCAGATATATGAAGTTCCAGTCAATAGTCCCCAATTTTTCATCTCACAACAGTCCTTTCATTAAGTCCCGGTTTTCGTATAACTTTCTCGTTAGTGAACAAAATGTTCAAACAACGATTTTTTTATCCAATTAGTTTTATGAGATGGTGGAGAAGATTTGTAGCTCAGGTGGATGATTTTGATGGAGTTTTGTTCTCTGAGCTGGATGGTTTGGTCGTGGAGCTTTCATCGTTCTTCTGAACGACATCATCAGCAGTTTGTGCTGATGATGTCGTTCAGAAGAACGATGAAAGCTCCACGACCAAACCATCCAGCTCAGAGAACAAAACTCCATCAAAATTAGTTTTATATTTAATTCTAGGCATTGAGATTCAAAAAACTAATAAAGGTCAATTAAATAAAACCAATAAATATATGGCGGTAATTAAAAAATAAGGTAGGAAAAATAGTCTAGACTAAAAAACTAAGTTGTCACATCGACCTAGATCTTAAAACATATTAAACATTGTCAAGACAGATCCAAGTTTAGGACGAACATTTTTCGTATTCAAAGGACGATTAAGTTTCCTGATACCCAAAGCTTCTATAAACTTAAAAGTGCACTCCTGACAGTATCTATACGAACCTTCAAAGCTGCTACAAGGTCCATCCCATGACTTGTTTCACTTATGTTTTGGAATCAAGGAGTATAGTAGTTTATTGAAGCATCTGAGACCAACTGATCATTACTCTATTTTGGAGCATGTTTCATCACATTTTTGATTGAGAAATTTGATTACTCCTCCCTATTGGTGTGTGTTCTTACACGTTTGTGAATTGGTAAATACAGTCGAATATGATAATCATTGATACGGTGTTTATGCCTATGAAGAGTTATGGGTTTCTTTTCAAATAGCAACCAGTTATATAACATATTTTTTTATGGATGGCTTCAAAATCATGCTGCTTTTTTCTATCTTATAATGTAATTTCACTTAAAAGCTTTTTAAATGAAACAATCAGGAAGAGTTCTGACTTTTACTAACTTTTACACTTTAACGGATATTTTTTTAATGTTGATGTTTCAGTCACCGGTTCCGTATCCTCTTCAGTCGTATCTGTACTACAGATTTGTTAAATTCAATTAAAGACATCTAATAAAGCCTCGTTTGTACTGGAGTGAACAGAAACTGTGGAAGCCTATATATTAATCAGTTTAGGTAGCCTTTTTACAAACTGATCTTATGGTTGGTTAATCTCTGACATGAAGTTTGTCCAAAATTATGGCTCAAATCACAATTTTCAGATTAACTCTGGCTTATCACAGTATCGGTATTTTTTAGTAGGATTAATAGTTTTGAATGATATATCATGTTTTGATTCTTTTAAAAATTACATATTAGGTTATTTCTCGTTAAAATGACCGATCAGTCATCAGCTAGTTGGGTGTGTTGTTGGTAGATAATCTTTCGGAAAGCTCATACTTCTGAGCTCCCCTAGCTGATGTAAACAAAAACTAATGTTTATTTATCTTGAACTGAAATGTAAAAAGTTCATTTTGACTGTGGTCTCAGAAATTATCAATGTTTCACCTTCCCTAAAATTTATAAGTTTTCCTTTAATGTTTATTAATATTTCAGCAACTGGCTTCATATGAATGGCTTATGCCAAAAGGCATACTCAAAACTGGTTGGATGAAAAAACATCTTGAAGAAATACCTGCATTCGTTGCTTTATTTTACGATCTAGATTGGGACGAACCACAGTGGGGAGAAAGGTCAACTGAATGCGCTCAAATGGTGGCAACTGTTCGGTTGGTATTTTGTTTTTACTTATTTACTCATGGTAACTGAATTTAGATCAAAACTTGCTGGTCGCGAAAGTAAATTAGTGGTCATTCTTATACAGAAACGTGCCCCCTTACCTTTGGGTGAAGATCTTAATGCCATGGATCGAGCTCAATCTCTTTGTAATAAGTGTGATCTTCCTGGAAAGAATTTGTTTGTTTTGTCGCATACAAACTTACTTTATGGATGCATTACAAGGTATGGTTTCTAGTTGATTTACAATGATTCATGCAATCTTGTGTATTTAAATGAGTATAAGTAGATTGTAAAGTGGAAATATGGGACTACAAAACATCCACTGCTATTTATGACTTTCAGTCGGACGGATAACATGTATTTTCCGTCACTGCTTAACATCATCTATCTAAGCAAAGATGGATAGTGGCTAGCAGTGGAATCCAGGACGCGCGTTTCGTCTCGTTCGGGACTCGTCAGCTGGATGTACCTGCATCTCAGAGTTGATGTTCACTATGGGACTCGAACTCAGTACCGTTCGCTTCAAACGCCATCGCGTTATCCACTTAGCTACTGAGTCCTGATAGCCACTTGCTTGTGCAATGGGTTGAAGTTTAATTCACTTGATATTGTTTTATTTGAATCTTCCCATTGATGTTTTTGGACTGAAATTGATCAGTCTCTTATTGGCATATGTGCATACTGTGCGTATGCCTCGATATTGCCTTAATTTACAAGCATTATAAGCAAAGATGGATAGTGGCTAGCAGTGGAATCCAGGACGCGCGTTTCGTCCTGTTTGGGACTCGTCAGCTGGATGTACCTGCTTATAATGCTTGTAAATTAAGGCAATATCGAGGCATAAGCACAGTATGCACATATGCCAATAAGAGACTGATCAATTTCAGTCCAAAAACATCAATGGGAAGATTCAAATAAAACAATATCAAGTGAATCATCTAAACTCATGAGTAGATGCAAGAAACATTTAGCGTTCAAACTTTAACTACTCGGTACCAGGTTCCTTTAATTCAGTCAGCTTCCCAACAGTAATGTAATCTGTTCAACTCATTATGCGAATGTGTCTAGCTTCATCTGTTCAGAAAGTAACTGTGTTTCACTCGATATTTCTGTTCGAACAAACAAAGATTTATTACTGAATAGTTGCAGTTCGCTTTCAAATGCACTTCTGATATCAATTAATAATCCTGCTGAATGTAGCGTGGTTGAATTGAACTATCATCTGTTAGCTAATCAATAATCTCTGCATATGACCATAAAGATTTTGCATCTCATTTGCTAGTGACTTTAATAGACACAGGTCAGGATACAAGCTGGTGCCGATCATGGTGTAATTTTATACTTTCCTACATTAGAGATCGGAATTTTCGAGGAACGAAGTTCATCTTGCTTGTGTTCTTACCTGAATTTTTTTGATAATGTCCCTTTTCTTTTTGTTATAATGTGATTTTCTCTGTTCTATTTCCTCACGTTCGTCTCTGCCGTTAAGTTCTAGAAGTTGTTTTCCACCATTTATTTGGAGTTTTTTAACTTCAGTAAATGAGATCATATTCACGAATCATATTAAGCACGAGGAACTCGCATATATTCTTCCATCTCTATGAAAAACACTTACTTAATAAGTGAGCTTCATATCACCCACATTTAGATTTATGAGAGCATATGGAAAACTAGTCGAGACCTATTCATTGTTGACCACATTTGGGTATTCACAATCTACGGGTAACCATAGTATTGAACATTCTGAGCTACGACTTTTTACCTGTTTTAAAGTCAGAGATTGAAAAACCAAATTGAGTCGGTTATTTTAGATTTAATACATTATATATATATATATATATATATATATATATATATATATATATATATTTCATATCGACTAATAAGTTGATTGTTTTACACAGATTAGAAGATGAATTTCGTGATATGGCAGCTAACTACTACCATAATCAAGCTAAAAAAGTGAAAGCTCACAAGGATTCACTCAACAAAACTAGTCACCAGGTAATTTTTTATAAATCAATTGATCATTATTACTACTGTTAAGATGTGGATACCAACCACTTGCCACCTTTCGTTTCTGTATATTGTGTGATTATTTTACCAATACATTTGTTAGGAACTTGATTGGGTTGTAACTGTTGTTGTAAATGAAATAGCACTTTTTCCTCACTAATCAAGATTGTTTTATTATTGCCAACAATCTATTTAATTAGTTATATCCAGTTTCTGGTAACTAGAATTATTCTTAGTCTCTTACATTCATGTTTTTACATAATGCATTATCACAACAGTTTTGTTTAGATCATGGTTACATTAGTGACATCTTCATCCTCCATCAAATTGTTGAATATGGTTACAGGTGTTAGCTGAGAACTGTTGAGCTTTTTAATAGCTTATTAGTTGTCTTCCACTAACTAGACTACGTTCTTGAATTATCTGCTAACTTGAACTATGTTTGTTAATTTTGACTGTATTCTTAAGTTATCTTTGTCAAGGCTTTCCAAAATGATAGTAAACTTCTCAAATAAACCTTTCTCTAACGGATGATTCCAGAGCACATTCCTTTCCAATGAATAGAAGAGAAGAAATGCAATAATTGTTCCACGCTTTATTGATTGGGAAATAAGTACGAAGTCATAATATTACTTAACCTTGTTATTTAATAGCTTGCTGTTTAACAGATTTTTTCAAAATTTAATCGATTACAGTTATTGTTTGTTCGTCACGAGTTCAAAATTGCTTTCTATGCTGAATTAAAACAAGATCCAGGATTAGCGCTGAAGTAAGTTCATCCAGAGGCGTATTTACTTATTTCTAATAATACTCGCTTTTTGTTTTTACCTTAAACACACATTCAATCTCCTAGTCGTCGTGTAAGCATTTAAAATGACAATGACATTTAAAATTAGGTATCCTGAATTTTAAAAAAGTATTGTCCGAATCCCTTCTCAAGTTCGTGAATTGTGTGTAACACGGGGTAGGTATACTTAGAGATTAGTAGTGGTGGAAATAATCCAACCCTAAGGCTTTCGATTGTTGATACTAATGCTCAAAGTGTATCTGTAGTGACATAGTGTCTAAAGCACTTGACTTTCACTTGTTTATTCTCAGGATCATACAGTGCTCCCACTACGATTTTAACAATCAAATAGGTTCTCCAACTCTCACAGTTAAATAGGGTATAGCTCAAAGACTAGTACATAAAATTGTTATTGATTATGAAGCTAACTTAAACGGATACAGTTGTATTGAAACTTTTGGTCTTGCAGTATGAACTCACACTATCTGATGCTTCTCAGATATGCTGTGGCAGAGCTACTCAGTCAGTAAGTTACCTCGTTACTCTGGATTTGATAGACGTATTGACAAATATATGTTTATCATGCATGCTGCATGCATCCTACTCTAAAAAGTTCTACATTTGTTCCATACTCTAGAAGCATCTAGTTAATTTCAGAACACAGTAACCGGTTTTTGTATTTCAGACATTATCAACAGGCATATAATCATTTAACAGAATTGAGAATGCTAGATGCTCATTTGCTGGAGGTGAAAACAGTAGCTGGATTTATTAACTACAAGGTAATTAATAACTGTTAACCATTGTATTTTTGGATAATTTTCTGAATCTAAAAGAAATTGTAGTCTCTGAGATCTCATTGATACTATATAAATGTAATCAGAATCTTAAAGATTAACCTCATATGTATCTTACATATGTTGTTTCATGTTTTGCCATGAAACACTCCAAATATGCTTATTATATCTCATCAGTTGTTTTGGTGATGGTAATATCTGACACTATACTAAAATCTATCATACACCTGTGTAGTCTCCTTGATCACAATTCGATATGAAGACATTTTTCTGATAGAAACTTCAATTGCTTGAACAACTTGGATTTGCTTATACTCAGACGCACTGGGGCTTACTTAAGTTACTTTAGATAATGCGATAAGAAGTTTATCATAATTATGTGATACATTTACTTTGAATTTTAAGTAATCGGTCATTAGCAATTTAGAACCTGGCATAAAATGTATGGCTGCCCAAGTTGTGGCTCAACATTAACATAGCAAAGTCAAATAATCGTAACGAATACTAAATAGGTGGTAGTATAATTGATATTTTAATAATTATGCATAGATAATGAATAAATTTCAGGAATACAACGCGTATGATAATTTCTAAATGTGGTATCTAAGGCTGAACAAATAGTAAATGGATCTGCGCCATTACGACAAATTCTGAGACATATCACCCAACGTCTTCATGTATTGGTCGCAGTGATCGCGTAGACCCCAACCAAGAAGTCTGCACTTACTGACATTCTCAGTAGTCAGTGGTTTCATTAACTGATGCTATATCTTGGTTCAGCTATCCCTAGCTTTCTTGTGATCGCCTACATCAATTATTACCTCTAGCCCGAGGTACGTGGCAATCGAATAAACACAATTCATGTACCAACCACCTGCCTATGAAGATTCATTGCTTCATCAACTGATTTGCCATCATTACATAGTACCGTACGTCACTTTAAGAATACTCACCCGGTGGTACCTATATATTTGAAGGCATCTATACTTTCAGCCAATATATATATATATATATATATATATATATATATATATATATATATACTTGCAACGAATGTCTTCCACGTTTTAGTCACAAAGTAAAACAGGAGAATGCTTCATAGAGTACTTATTATTTCGTCAGTAAACATCTCACTTACGGCACAAGTGACAGGAGTCCATAAAAACCAAACAAACTTTCTAAATCCATCCCGATATTTTGTCACATAACAACCTATCAAGATGATGAAACTTCGTAGATAAGTAAAATGATCGACGCTATAAACCACTTTATTCCCCATCATTATTCTAAGTGTTGATGCAAACCAATCTTGAAGGAACATTTTTCATTTTTAGGGGAGGGAATACATCTCAAATATACCTACATTGACTCACGAGAATCATTAGATGCCTCATTTGGTCAATCTTCACCAAATAGTAGTATACCACTTACGTGCTCCAAGTTGATAAATGAATCTCCTGGTAGATAGCTAATTCCTGAAAAGTCTATGATGGGAGATTAGGTAGCCACTCATGGTAACGGTTCACCATAAACTCTGTCTCGACCAATAGTGTCCAAATAAAGAACATTCACATGGTTTATGCACTTCTGTGGTACACCTTTTAGTGAATAACGTCAAAGAAATCACGAGTCTACGAAGTTGTATACTACTTTTTATTAAAGAAATACCACTATTGTCCGGTAAACTTCCATCGGAAACAATAACTTCGGGTGATGTTTGTCAGGGTTGTTCGCTTTCTTCATTTCCATTTAACTTTGTCGTTATCAACCTTTTAGAAATAACACTCTCATCTTCTGAATTTTCAGAGGTTGGTCTTCTGCCGGAAGGTTCACTTTACTTAGAATACACAGATGATGTAGTTCTGTTTAGTGAAAACGCTGACGAAATCTAGCCTTCTGACCACCTTTAGTAATAATGCATGCATGGTCAGGATGCGATTCTTTCACTCCAAATAAAGTGTTGCCTTAGGATTGGTCTGCGTCAAAGTCTGAATCACTGATAGAAAGTGGAGTAGTTGGACGCATCAGCCGCTCCATTCGTCTTGGGAGTCACATCATTCCTGATGAGCTGTTTTTTTGACGAAATCTCAATACGCAATCAGAAAGCTCGACTGGCTTTTGCCGAATTGCGTCACTTGTGGCGTAGGTGAGATATCCGTCTACCAACCAGAAGACGAGTTTACTGTGCAGCAGGTCTCTCTGTCCTACTTTATGAATGTAAAAAGTGGCCATTAAGAATAGAGGATATTTGAAAGCTTCTAGTATTCAAAGCATTGGTCGTATATTTTCGGACCACCGAGTAATCAGCGTTTGAGTTAAGGATAGGGTACTGGATAAGGATAAGGACTCAGTTGATGAGGTAGCAAGTTTCCACCAGCTGATGTTGTTGGAACATGTGTTTTGTCTGTTCAACCACCACCTAACTCGATGGGAAATATTGCCTGATGCAGGAATAGGCTGGAAGAAAGTTATGGGCGTCCAAACTAAAGCATAGCGTTAATCCATATAGTCATTGACAACTAGACTAAACCATGTTAATTGTTGTAGACTACCTGGTTGGGGTCTGTGTGATTACCGTAACCAATGTTTAAAGACTTTGACTGACATGTCTCAAAATGGCTTTCAATGACCCAAGTGCACCCACTTTTTGTCGTTCTTAGATCCTAAGCCTCTAAAGTTTTGACTTTTTTCGTATTTCACCAATTTAAATCTCAAATTGTGTCTTTGATGGTTAAACTTTCCTAATACCATTACTACTGTTGTTAACTCTACTTTCCTGGTATTTTGCCTGACAGTTTCATCTCTCTATGCTGATAGGATATAAGAAATCTAAACCGATGTATATACGTACTAGATTTTCCGCTGCGACCGACTCGTTAATTATCCCGATGTTTCGAAACGAAGGATAAATACTAATCGATATATCCACATACAAGTTTTGAGGCAACCTGGTTTTCTAGTGTTTTCCGTTTTGATAATTATGATGCTGATATTTTAGAAATTATGTTGGTCGAACTAACTCCTAAATTTACTACAAGAGAATTTCTACTCTTGTTTATAAAATGTACGACCAGTGATTGGTACCATCCAGATAGAATTGTGTCCAGCTGGTATTCTTAGTTTCTCTATGATTATAGCATTTGAGTTTTAATTATTAGTTCTAATTTCTGAACCTTGCTTTACCTCTTTTGGCAGCCAAGTATTGTCACCAGTCCTTCTACAAAAGTGTAACTAAAAGTTGACTATATGAAGCTGTACTTGGTTAGAGTTGTCTTGGAATTTGTCGCATTATCTTTTTACCTAGGCCACCGACGCTTTTTGTCTCCTTACATGACGTTATCAACAACTCTGACTATATATCATTTTCGTTTAGATATGCCGCCTGTCTTTCCAAAATAATGCATCTGATGCGATATCACAATTTCGAAGACATATTAATTTTTTTGCTAATCTCGTCGGATTACCACAGTTAGCTTTTGAGCATGAAGCATGGATGTCAAAGCAGTAAGTGATATGTTGCATTATTTTATTTCCGTGTTGTATAAAATGTGAAGTAGTGATCATTTACTGAAAGGAGTGTTATTCATTTTTGTTCCATACATAGTTCAATAGTTTATCTCTATTAATACGTCTTGTAAATTTCTTAGGTTTGAAATTCTTGGAGATCTTTTCCAAGAAGCTATCAAATCTAGTCTCACTCCCCTTATAACCCAACATCCTGGATTATATTACCAAGAAGCATCTAGACATGCTGTTTGCCGTCGTCAGTTATGTCAAGCTTTATGCATCCCTACTGTTAAAGCTGCTGAAATGAATGCAGATGACAGATTATACTATCCTTTGCCAACAGAATCTAATGAACCCACTGTTGGAATTGACGCCGCTTTCGCTACAGACAGCCGTCTATTTGCCGAAGAAAGTGAATCTTCACCTCATTTACCAAATCATTCTTTAGAATGTTCCAGATCAAAACGTACAGCAATCAACACCGCTGTAGAGTTCGTTCGAGCTCAGTCACCTCTTTTGTTTAAAAAACAAACTTTTACAGCGGACAGTCCAAACTTATCAGGCTATCATTCACCCAGTCAGGTACCTGCAGCAGATTGTTTGTCAGCTACAGAGAAAATAAACGGTCTTGAATTTTACGGTCAGCGACCTTGGCGCCAAGGTATTCAAAGTATTGAACCACCAAATCCAACAAAAGAACGAGAAGGGATCTTAAGTTTGCAAAAAGAAGAACTCAAAGTAGATCATTCTGTAAGTTTTGTTATTTGTAGTATGTTTTCAGTCAACCTAATTAATTAGTCCTATATTATGTTTGCAGATGTCTTCAGGTGTCGCCCCACAGTTAGCAAAGTGTGAATGTGTTTGACTTTTAAACCTTTTGCTTATGACATTTATGCGAACACAAATGGGAACCAAAGTGAATATGCCCTACACAAATAATAAAGTAAGTTTCTGAAGAAATAGAAGAGTGGATCTGATCGAAAATAAGTAAATGAAGCCAGCTAGAATATCACACTCGATTTCAGAAAAGCTAATTCAGTGAGTTGAGGTCGTTTATATAGGACAGAATTTCCACCACTGATGAGCTGCTGTGTGGAAAATAAAGCGAACACACAATGAATATAAATACGGATCGAAGAAAGAAGCATAAAATGAATTTCTTTGTAACTAAGTCATCGCAAATACCGTTTGCATATATAACAAGGCGACCAAAAACGTTTTCTCGTAATTAATCATTTTCATAATCGTGTGTGGGTTAGGATACGATGGCCTTTAGACCGAAGCGATTAGTTTTCTTAGGGGACTACTCCTCGAGCATCCAACTTAAAGGTCTAGTCCAGATAGTAGTAAAGACACGTCTGCGAAAGCAATCCCATGCTAACCAATGACCAAGAATATGTTCACACTCTATTCGACCCTTCAGGATCCTGCAGATCATGTGCACCATCGATTTGATATCAGGGCTTTTCAACCCCTGTAAGTGGATCATCTGTAGTCAATAACACCAAATACCCTGGTACGGCCGAAAGTGGGGAGAGTTCCCTCTCCCTCTCGAAATAATCTCACATGGCCACGCGTATATAGCCTCTGCCAGGGAAGTCGTACTCACTGCCTTCTCGTAGTGGGGGTGATGTTTACGAAATTCAGAGGACGAAAAGCGAATGTCTGGCGCTTTAACCTGGTTGGTGGACATGGAGAGTCCACACAGGGGAGTTGGAAAACCCTGATTCCAAACCAATGGTGCACGTGAGCTACAGTATCCTTAAGGAACAAATGGCGTATGAACCAATCGTTGGTCACCGGCTACCATGGGACTGCATCTCCTTGGGTTGCTCCATTGCCTTACGGATAAGAACTTTACGTCAAAGGAACTGCGACTCTTGAAGCGCTACAAATCACAAGATCCAAATGACTTAATTTCAGCCTTTCTCAAAAAATGTCGCGACTTTCTGGTTAATGAGCTGACTGAATTATTTACAAAGGTCTGGTAATTAGAGAGTGTTCCAACATGAAATGAGTCGATGGGTTCACGTCGTTTCTGCAACAACTATCGGAGGATAAGTCCACTTCCGATTACGTCCAACATATTAACTTTCGTCATACTTCGTAGATTGTTCAAAACACGAGAAGGATTGACTCGAGAGGAGAATGCTGGTTTCCCTTCTGGTCGAGGATGTAGTGATCATGTATTCACCCTCCGCCAAATATTAGAACACCGTCATAATTATCCCAGGCCAACAATCGTAGTGTTTCATGACATTAGGACCGCCTTCGATTCGTTGAACAAGACTCTCCTCTGGGACTGTCTATTAAAGAAAGGTGTATCTGAGATGTTTATTAACATCTTGAAGGCACTATATACTAACACCTCGGGCAGAGTGAGCTCATACAACAACCTCTCTCCATTGTTCTATCCAAGTAGTGTGTTTAGGCAGGGTCGCTCAATCTCACTATTCCTCTTCAACTTTCACATCATGACGTTCCGAAAACAACTCTGATGGATGTAGGTAATGGTGGTGTGGATCTGTTGCCTGAAGAAAGACTTCTCGACCTTGAGTATGTGAATGGTATTGTGTTACTGTGCGATGACACCCAAACCATACAATCCGCACTTAATCGGTTGGCAGTCAATGTCCGTAAGTACAGCTTGTGCTTTGCACCTTCCAAGTGCAGAGTACTTTTATAAGACTAATAGGACCCTGAGCATGCACTCACCCTAAGTGGTGAGCAGATAGAAGTGGTTACTAAATCCGTGTACCTGGGTAGCTGAGTAAGTTCTGGTGGTGGTGTGGGTGATGAGATCAATCCACGTATAGTGGAGGCCAGAGCGGCTTATGGCAATCTGGGTCTTCTCTGACGCCTTTGTGATATTAGTCTCGTTGTAAAATGTCGGATCTACGACGTGTCGATGAGAGCAGTTTTGCTGCATGCTTGTGAAACCTGACCTCTCCGAGTTGGCTCAGAATAGAAGCTAGTGGTGATTCTGCTTTCACTTTCTTCACAAAAGTGAATGTAACTTCTTTAACTTGAAGAATTCCTTCTGCTTTTCCAATTATTATTATCATTGTTCCACTCTCATACACTGATTTCTGTTCATCGTCGTTCTCCTTTTATTACACGCACTTTACATTCTCTATCTCTTCACGACCTCATTGTTATTGTGTAGTGCATATATATTTGGTGCCCCCTTGTACTAATGTTTATGTGTTCAAATAAACAAATGAGTAAGTAAACGAACAATTTTTAGTTCACTATCATGTAATGATCTTCTACATGAAATCATGCTGTTGAAATTGCTTTACCCCAACCCCAACATGTAGATCCTATTTATCATCTTGTGAATAGGTTTCAAATATATTTCGTTATTTGTTGGTGTCTTTTTTCCTACTTCACATGCTACATGGCCTCATATTCTGTTAGCATTAAAAGTGTATTATTTTTGTGGTAATAAATCATACTCTATTCATCAAATATTTGTTAATGAGGGCAAGATATATTTTGTATTTTACCGAAGTTATTTTCTCTACAATTATAAACACTGTTAGTCAACATCTTTCAACGTTATCAGTACTTTTGAAATTTCAGAGTTTTATTATACCACTGCTTGAACAAACTCGATTACAATACAAACGATATAAAGCTGAACGAATGAAACTATATCCGTGTGAGTGAATAGTTTAAGTGCTTCTATTGTTTTTTATTGCTATTATTGAGTATCCAACCGTAGATTTTACCACTTTTCTTTTATTCACGCTTAACACGAAGAAACTTACGATAATAAATTATTACATTTTAATATTTTTGAGATAAGTATTTGAGTAATTTATTAGGTTTTACTGGTTTTCAAGATCTATGGGTTCGATGTTTCTGTGCCACTGCAATCATTTTTTTTGTTTTTTGATGTGTAATTTGACAGTTTGTGGTATTTCTTGTGTTACGAAACAATGATGAATCATAGGTGCACATACCATGTTCATTAAGATATGACAAACCTTGTTTCCGGAAAAGTACCACATCCACAACTCATTACTTACATTATTTAATTCATAGATTAGATTCATTCGACTTTGTGCTCCTAACGTGTCATCAATTAATGTATACATATAGTAACAGTATTCCATTTTGTTAGCTCCAAGGCTGTATTTGTGAACTTTGTCTACCTGGTTTAATCAAGTTTCTATATGTGCATCTGTGCTTAATTTTCAGCATTCGTGAATTTCAATTTTAGTTATACAATCATTGTCTTTTCTCGTCATTATTTCCTAGAATGTTCCACTTAATAGAATTGTATACGAATTTTAGTTCTATTTGTGATTATGTAACCACATTTGTTTAATAGCACTATACAAATCTTTGATCAGCTTTGTCAGTTTATCTTGTCAATTCTCAGTCACCTTTTTTACTCATTTTTATTTCAGGTATTTTAATGGGCTCCGAATATTATGATAAACAGGATTATGATAAGGCTCTCAGGTGAACATCAAAATAAATAATTAACCACTTCTTTTTTAGTTGCTATTTAAGCGTAATCAATGAATATCGTAGCGAAAAATGGTGGTCTCTCTTTACTTTCACACTGAAGCGAATTGCAACGTAAGTGTTATAAAGGCTTATTAAATTCCTTTGTCAATTAGATTAGTAACTGGTTTTAATTTACGTATCGTTAACGTTTAATTTGTGCTAATGATTAGAACATTACGCTTACAACCATATATAAACTGATTCGTTATTCTGTTAGGTAAATGGGAATGTTTCTCTTTGAAGTTTTTTGGGAAATTTTGAATAGACTTTATATGACAGTTATCTACAATGAAAATTAAGTCAGCTGTACTTCGTAAACCTAATATTATGGCGAAATTCGCAGCCATGATTCATTTAATTGGATTGTATATTTCACTAAATATTCACTTAAATATCTTTCCAAAAATCGTAAAGTCTTATTATTCTATTCAGTAGATAAATAAAACTGTTCCCTTTTCTAGATGTGCATATTTGATAGCTCAGCCCACAGTTTTTCTATCCTCATGTTTGGAACTTCTTGGACCCAGTAAGTTTTCTCCTGCATCATTTGTAGTGCACATTAACTTCATCATATACAATGTTTTGTATTTTAATTTCATCTGATTACTTTCTGTCTTTTTTTTAGCAGTTCAGGTTATTAATATGAAATTTGAAGAGGTCTAAAATAATGATTTAAGCAGATAAACATGAATCCGTTTTTTTAATTAGGTTTTTGTCAGTCGTTTACAATTTGTAATATTTTAAGATCAGAAATTTAAATAAAGTTTAACTTACTTATCGAAGTCAATTCGGTTAGATTTTAGTGCGAAAACATGTCAACATAATGAAGTAAACATACATAGAAAATTCGAAAAGGTTAAGTGATCGCAAACATCTGCGATTCCTAGAACATCAGTTAAGTTAATACCAAAAGATCATCAGTTAGTAATTAAGTGTTTATATGATGAATTCATGAACACAGGTTAAGAATAAGATTATAAATTCAAAAAAATATAATATGATGCTTCTAAACAAATTAGGTTTGAGAAAACGATCCTATAAAATAATGACCAACTTACTGGGGCAAAGAATACTACTAAACTTCTTTTTTGAACAAACAAATTAAGTTTCAAGCGTTTAGTAGCTCCGGTGAATTTTAAAATGTTAGAGCTTGTTTATTTATTAAATACTGAAAAGTTTTAGTTTTTTTCATGTCACTGTGATGCCTATAGCTCACACCATTAAAAACCTTTATTCCTTTAAGTGGAAAATGTTTTACGATATGTTCGTAAAATTTAAGACAAAACTTTCTGTCTTATTAGCTTGATTACTTTGAGAGATACACTTAGATCTGAACAAACATAACAAAAGTACTTATAGATCTTCGGCTGTTCCGTACCGAATAACTGACACTATTGCTGTAAATAAATTCATCATTTGAACCTGATGTGATAAGGGTTTAACACAGAATTAATCATTACCTTATATTATCTTTAATAATTTTGGTTATTTATCTGAAAATAGTTCAGGCTAGATTGTTTGGCAAGACGTCGGAATAGTTTAAACTGGTTTACTATTATCATTCCAAATGTAATTTGTAATGCCCTGATACGGTCGATGGTGGGGAGAGTCATCTCTCTCTCTCTTGAAGTGCTCACATGGCCACGTGTATACAGCCACGCCCACGGAAGTCCTACCTTCTTGCGGTGGGTTGTTGTTTACCAAATTTAGAGGACGGAAAGCGAATGTCCAACGCATTAACTGGGTTAGTGGACACGGGGGATCCACACAGGGGAGTTGGAAGACCTTGATTCCAAACCAATGGTACACATGGGCTACATGATCCCGAAGGAACAAATGGCCTATAAAGCTGTTGTTGGTCACCGCCTACCATGGGACTGCATCTCCTTGAGTTGCTCCACTGTTTTGTGGATCAGACCTTTTGGTAGAAGGCTCTGGGTGTGGTCTCCTAAGAAAATCACCTGCCCTGCTCTGGACACCCGTCAGTACCACAGCCCACGCATAAATCATGTGACTTGAGTGGCACATATGTATTCGGTACCATATTTTACTAATATTTATGTGTTCATACAAATAAAGAATTTCTACCAAACTGTTCGTTTTAATTCGGATTAACGTTCATATAAATTTTATTGTTTGCAGTATCTGAGTTATTTGGTACATACACGGACCTCCGTTTTATGTAATCTAATTTCATCATTAATGGATAGGACATGCTTTGAATTTTTCCGTTTACCTAACTTGTTTTCACGAAATTAGTTGGTTTTGCTTTTCAATCCTTATGTCGTTATTATTACTTTTGAGCGTTTTTTTTAACTTTTCCTTTGTTTTTCATTGACGTTCTAGATAGCTTGTTGCCTCTCTGTGAGAAAGTACAAGTTCAACAAGCAATTTTTGATTTCCTTAAGGTAATTTATCAATTGTTCTGTGTATATAGTTGTTACGAACAGCGAATTCTTGATGAACGTGTATGGTTAGCTTCTGTGTTGTAAGTAAACAGAATAAGATGTGTTATATTTCATCGGTTTGATATTTTTGTATTATGTATAAAGTAAGAATAATAATACCTGGAAACACATCAATCAATTATGAATGTTCGGGTTCAAGCTCATAAATATTAATAATACGAAAACAATCAGGCTGTGGAATAATTTAATTATTTTTATATATCGCTGACTTACTCCATGGAGCAACTTAATTGTTAGTCTAATCTTAATAGAAAGGTCTTGGAGTTCTATTCAAGACAATTGATATAAACATATTTACTGTTTGTTTCGTTTTCCAACAGTAACGATTTTTCTGTTTGGATATGTTTAAAAAAGGGCTTCATCTTACTGTCTCGATTTCACTTTTAGTTCCTAATATGCTAAATATATTTTTTCTTATTTTAGACCGGAGTTCCTAACCTCATAATGTTTTCACCTGAGCTTGATCATACCATAAAAGCTATCGAAGATGGGTGGAAGAAACAGTTAGACTTATTAATACAACATACTTCGAATGCTCATTCGGACGTTGCACACAATGAATCGGTCAATGAGAACAAAGTAGATATCGAGAAAAAACCACAAAGTTCAACCGATTCACATTTTGATGAAAAGTATAGAATTTCATTGGACATTACCCGAGTTAATACATGTAGTAAGTGTTTAAATAAAGGGATAATCAATATTAAATACCAAATAAACTAACGGATAATTTCGCTTTCATCTAATGTCATATAGAACATTGGCTTATTCCTTAAAGCATTAAATCTTCAGACAAAAACGAACCCCGCTCCATCTATTTTGGTTTTGCCATTTAGTTGGAATTATTAATTGTCCCACACATTCAGAATATGTCTCGAAACAGAGTACATAATCTAATTAAAATAGAAGAAAAATACTTAACGAATAGTTGTTTTAAAACGTATTTTTCATGTTTACTACTCAATGTAGCCCAACAGATACATAGTCACGTCCATTCGCTCCCAAGTTTAGTATGTTTGGTCCCAATAATTTAGATCTTGTGAACTTTTCTATGATAATTCATTCTTGTATTGGTTGTTCAAATCTTTTCATTGATGTTTAGGACTGCAACTGATCAGTCTCTTATTAACATATAAGCATCCTGTGCAGATTGCCTTGTTATTGCCTCAAGTATAAGCATTATAAGCAGAGTTGAAGCGAACGGTACTGGGCTCGAGTCCCAGATTAAACACCAACTCTGGGTTGCAGGTTTATCCAGCTGATGAGTCCCAAATAGGACGACATGCGCGTCCTAGTTTCAACTGCTAGCCAGCATCATCTTTTTATGATAACTTATAAATTTACATTTAATCTTCCCAAACACTGCCATTTGAAGTCCATTTATTAAACCTACTGTTGTTAAATCATATCATAGAAATCATTCCTATTCTATTGATCTCATCATTATTTTTCTATTTCAGTACAATGCAAAGCTTGCTTTTCACAACCAGTATATACTTTTGGTCAACCAGTTCAATTGGCTGTTTTCTTACGGTATTCTATTATTAATCTCGTTTTTTATATTAATTAATTGGCATTCTGTTGTCTTTTTAACTGTTTTTTAATTAATTTTGAATAAATTGAGCATTGGGTTGATTGTTATAAATAAAAATAATATATTTGTAATATCCCAATGAGTAGAAAATTAGATTTTCTGACGTTTCGTGACTTGGTGTAAGCCACTTCTTCAGAGAATAAATAACCAAATTAGAATTAGTCCAAGTTTAAATAGTACAACGGAACAATGCAAGAATAATATTGGATCAATCAAAAACAGGTCTGAACAAGTTGATGTCATGTCATTTCTGTCAAGGTGATTCATAAGTGATATGTATATAAATTTGTCTATGTATGTGTGCATTGTTTAAGAATGAAAACTTGTGTGACCTTTATGGTAAGAAAGGATAGAGTTTAAATTTGTAATATAATAGTGTGAAATTGTAAATACGATCAGACTGAATGGTTAGGATAGATGGTCTAAGTAGGATGTATGGTAAGGCCTTCTTTTCTATTGAGAGAAGTAGGATTAAGCATTATATGGAACGCCTCAGCTACCCTCCTTTCTTTGTAGTTGGAAAAGCCTTTTTGCAATATTTTGATATTTTTAAAATCGATTTGGTGGTTGTTGAAAATGGCATGAACTGCTATTGCCGATTTAATTTGAAGTTGGTTCAATTCTACAGGATTGTTAGGAGGTTTCTTTGTGTACCTAATATGTTCTTTGGCTCTAGTCACGATTTCGCGGGATGACTCTCCAATATAATAGGCATCACAATCGATACAACCTAAATTGTAGACGCAGTTCTGTGTGGACATGAAAGGGACTTTTCCTTTCAGGTGAACTAAAGTATTACGTAGTGTGTTCGTTGTTTTGTAATATACTTTAATTCTGTGATGTTTTAAGATTCTTTGGATTTCTTCTGTTGTGCCATGACGGTATGGTAGAACTGCAGTACCAATCCATGGCATTTCATTCGAATCATTATAATAACGTAATAAACTGTTTTGTTTTAATATGCTTCTAATAATCTTCATAGGAAAATTATTAAATTGTAAGATGCGGATTACATTCATTTGTTCTCTTTGTTTGTCTTCCTCTGATGTGATGATCTTGTTAGCTCTTCTAAAAAGATTTAAGGCTAGCGAGATCTTAGCACTGAAAGGATGTGCTGAATGGAAGTCAATATAACGATTTGAGTGCGTCGGTTTTCGGTAAATAGATAGGTTTAGACTTCCATTTGGATTTCTTTTTACTAAGCAATCCAAGAATGGTAGCTCACCATGTACATTTTCATTGGTGAATTTGATGTGCGATGAAAGTGTATTTATTCGTTTTGAAAAAGATCTTAGATGAGTCTTTTTTATAACAACAAATGTATCGTCTACATATCTAAGCCAAATTCGTGGTATAATGTTGTGGGCGAAGATATTTGATTCTATGTATGCCATAAAAAGGTTGGCTACAATCGGGGACACGGGGGATCCCATTGCTACACCGTTAGTTTGTTTAAATAACATACCGTTAAAAGTAAATAGTGTTTAATTTAAACAAAGTTTTAAGGATTTCATGATTAGACTGATGCTCAACAGACATCTGTCAGGAAGAGTATTGTCGTTCTCAAGTAAACCACTAATGAGATGCTCTGTAGTTTTGTGTTAAATACTTTCGGTTGTCCCCACCCGTGTTCTGTTCACTACATTAGTACTTGTTACCAACTTTTATATTTTGTATCAAACTGAAATTAATCTTTTTTAGTCTTGTTACTTGGGCAATACCATAGTATACGAATCTCCAAAGGATATCGAGTGATTTGTATTTTTTAGTGAATGATATATGCAATGTAAAAGGCTCAAGCATTGTTACCCAAATGGGTAAACCTAAAAGTGTATATCTGGTAGAAACTTTTGACGTCTTGTCGATGCATCATCGTAAATCATCTGTTAGACGGTAACATAAGCAATTTTCTTATAAAAAGAACAGTATTTGAATATTTTTTCGATAAATTCTCTAAAGGTTCTACAATTATATATCCAAATTAATAAACTGAAAATCGTCCAGGTTAAGGGCAAAGTACATCGTTTAAAGTTGGCATATAAATTTAAGATTGTCAAAAAAATAGAATAAAATTGTTCATATTGATATGACTCATATAGAATCTCGATTTGATTCAAATATGATGGGGATCTTTAAAGAAATTTCTTATCATAAATCACGAACGGGTCTTGGCTGGACCACCATCGAAAACCAGGAAGCATTAGATCGCCCTCTCATTCTAGCATTAGATTCAGCAGCGCTGAGATCAGTTCATGATTTAAAATGCGAAGTTTCTATGATCTTCGCAAATCCCCTATACTAACATATATATATATATATATATATTGTTAGTTAGCCACTTGATCTTATTTATTAACCATGTTAAACCGCATTATCTTCCACTATGACTATTTCAAACCGATGAATTGCACATAATCGAGTATAGTATCTCATGACCAGTGATAATGATAGTGTTTCCTTTGTTTTAGCCTTCCGCATCTGACTACTTTTTATCCTGTTTTATATTAATTTTGGTTCTTTCTTTATTTTCATTTCTAGGTCCTTTGCTCCTTTACCCATCCTTGTTCATCATGTCACTGTGACTTTTTCTAACAAGGTAATCTAAGTAGACTTATCGTCATATCACCTGATCATTTTACCGTGTCCTTTTGGTAATCCTAAACTATATATTATTTTAGTAATTTGCATACAGCAAACTAGTGAATTATTCAATCAAATGTAATATGCAATTAGTTTAATTAAAACTAGTTATCAATACACAAACCAATGTTAGTTAGCGGACCGATAAAAAGTCAGGTACTATTTGCCAGCTTACTTATTCTGATTTGAAATGGTTTAGCAATGTACATACCTGACCATACATATAAGATTTATTTATTTGAACACATAAACATTAGTACAAGGGGGCACCAAATATATATGCACTACACAATAACAATGAGGTCGTGAAGAGATAGAGAATGTAAAGTGCGTGTAATAAAAGGAGAACGACGATGAACAGAAATCAGTGTATGAGAGTGGAACAATGATAATAATAATTGGAAAAGCAGAAGGAATTCTTCAAGTTAAAGAAGTTACATTCACTTTTGTGAAGAAAGTGAAAGCAGAATCACCACTAGCTTCTATTCTGAGCCAACTCGGAGAGGTCAGGTTTCACAAGCATGCAGCAAAACTGCTCTCATCGACACGTCGTAGATCCGACATTTTACAACGAGACTAATATCACAAAGGCGTCAGAGAAGACCCAGATTGCCATAAGCCGCTCTGGCCTCCACTATACGTGGATTGATCTCATCACCCACACCACCACCAGAACTTACTCAGCTACCCAGGTACACGGATTTAGTAACCACTTCTATCTGCTCACCACTTAGGGTGAGTGCATGCTCAGGGTCCTATTAGTCTTATAAAAGTACTCTGCACTTGGAAGGTGCAAAGCACAAGCTGTACTTACGGACATTGACTGCCAACCGATTAAGTGCGGATTGTATGGTTTGGGTGTCATCGCACAGTAACACAATACCATTCACATACTCAAGGTCGAGAAGTCTTTCTTCAGGCAACAGATCCACACCACCATTACCTACATCCATCAGAGTTGTTTTCGGAACGTCATGATGTGAAAGTTGAAGAGGAATAGTGAGATTGAGCGACCCTGCCTAAACACACTACTTGGATAGAACAATGGAGAGAGGTTGTTGTATGAGCTCACTCTGCCCGAGGTGTTAGTATATAGTGCCTTCAAGATGTTAATAAACATCTCAGATACACCTTTCTTTAATAGACAGTCCCAGAGGAGAGTCTTGTTCAACGAATCGAAGGCGGTCCTAATGTCATGAAACACTACGATTGTTGGCCTGGGATAATTATGACGGTGTTCTAATATTTGGCGGAGGGTGAATACATGATCACTACATCCTCGACCAGAAGGGAAACCAGCATTCTCCTCTCGAGTCAATCCTTCTCGTGTTTTGAACAATCTACGAAGTATGACGAAAGTTAATATGTTGGACGTAATCGGAAGTGGACTTATCCTCCGATAGTTGTTGCAGAAACGACGTGAACCCATCGACTCATTTCATGTTGGAACACTCTCTAATTACCAGACCTTTGTAAATAATTCAGTCAGCTCATTAACCAGAAAGTCGCGACATTTTTTGAGAAAGGCTGGAATTAAGTCATTTGGATCTTGTGATTTGTAGCGCTTCAAGAGTCGCAGTTCCTTTGACGTAAAGTTCTTATCCGTAAGGCAATGGAGCAACCCAAGGAGATGCAGTCCCATGGTAGCCGGTGACCAACGATTGGTTCATACGCCATTTGTTCCTTAAGGATACTGTAGCTCACGTGCACCATTGGTTTGGAATCAGGGTTTTCCAACTCCCCTGTGTGGACTCTCCATGTCCACCAACCAGGTTAAAGCGCCAGACATTCGCTTTTCGTCCTCCGAATTTCGTAAACATCACCCCGACCACGAGAAGGCAGTGAGTAGAACTTCCTTGTTAATGGCTGTATAAGAGAAAGAGATCGGCACCTGAGATAATATTGTTCTCTTAAACAGTTATTATCGCTATATTCTATTTCGAGTTGTATTTTTTTTCTCATGTCAGATAATTTTACATTTATCTCGTTGTTTACTGTGAATACATCAGCAATTATTGAAATAAATGTATTTGTAGGAATCTAAATAATTTTCATTTGTTGTTGCACTTTTAATTGTGTGTGCTAGTATATATACAAACTTACTCAGTAAAATTATCACTTTATATCATTTGCTTAAAGTCCTATAACTAGGTAAATGTGGAATGTGTTGCATAATTTTATGATAACTTGATGACATGCAGTTCTTCTGTGTTTTTCTGAATACTCTAATTTTTAAGAGATAATCAGTTCTAACACTAGAATATTATACAGTGAACTGCATATTAGCGAGTCATTAGTTGAGTTCGAATTATGTTTTTTTGTGTTAATCCTGTCAAAAATTATTTAATTTTTATCTCCATTCTAGTGAATCCGAAACTTTTTTTATCTATTACAATTAATACTATTAGGTCGAGTGTCCAACGTCTTCACTTAATACACCACCTAGTACAATAAACAAACCTTTAATAGGAAATTTTTCAACTCATCAGACCCCGCAAACATGGTCATCTAAGTTTATTCTGGATTCAAAAGAAAAATTCAAAGTGATTCTGTTATGCCTTAATCCAGACGTACTTGGTAACCAAATTAAAGTAAGCTAGTATGTACATACCACTTATTTTGTTAGGAATTTTGTATTAGAAACATTAAAAACTTGTATCTCATATTTCGAACTTTTCATCCTTTTGATACTTACTGGACTCAATATAATGTATTCTCAAGCTAAAATCAGACGTATGTGCAATTAGTATGTTGAAACTGGTTACTTAGCTACATCTGAAGAAACTTTTGACTTTCCTATCTTTGTGCCCACGAATATCGACTGTACACCGAATACTACAGCAGTTTATTAGTTATAAATTACTCTTAATACGCTTTCAACTGCAAGAAAAAAACGCCGTACCCTATTAATTGATAGAGTAACGACTACAACTACGACAGTTTAAACAACTTAATTGAAACGTTATATACAAAAATGGAGAAATTAATTACATTTCCTTAATTATTAGCAGCTCTATCCAAAATGTAATAGTTGGGAAGTACATCAGAAGTTACTATACATGGGTTGGTACAAACATTTTTATGATTTCCTTGATTAATTGCCATTTTTTAATCCCGTCAATAAACTGCTGTTCCCACGTCTCAATGAAAGAAAGCTATAAAAAGTATTTCGACCTTTCCTTTTAACGGATTCCCAGTTTATGGTTCTGTAAATTAAGAAACATTTCTGTTTGACAACCAGTTCTGTTCTTTATTTTTAATAGCGCTGCTCTGTAGAAAAACTACAACTGTATACTTTAGTTTTAATTGCCTTACTAACGATACTAATGTTGTAAGTAATTGACTATCTTTAAGTAATATTTTGTTTTTACCGAGATATAATTTTCAATTAGATTGATGCAACAAATTGCATGTTACTGTGTGATTTTAAAGAGAACGTACATGAGATCTTAAAACTTTTGAATCTCTATGTTTTTTATAGTGATTACATTTTAAAAAATAGAGCCATGTTACAATAAAGGAACAAATACATTTATTCCTGATTTCCATTTATATCGATTGTTTACTCCGTAAAATGTGATTGACTTTTAATAAGCTCTCTCTTTTTCACTAGGTTGATTCAATTCATTTGTGTTTATCACCTCCTATGGTTAATTGTCATAAAGATATTATTAATGAATTAATATTGTGTACAGTTTCATGGCAATGGAATACAAAATCAGATTATCATCCTTACGTAAGTGGTCGTAAAACTATTGGTCATAAACATCATAATCTAAAGAAACAGCATGATGTGTTACATGATAATGTGAATACCATTAGTAATAATAATTGTGGTTTATGGTGCAAAGAGGTTGTTCTTTCAGTGCCAGAACGTCGAATGCAGAAAAACCCTATTAAAATTGAATCCAATGGATTTATAATTAATCATGGATTTCCTAACCTTCCACCAGACTGGGATATTATCGACAGTCGAATTCGAACAGAGTAAGTTTTACGTGCTCCTAATTAATTACTTAACGCATAATTGATAAATTCACATCATGGAATAGTTAAGTTATATTATAAGAAATCGACGTTGTCACAAAATACTAGCAATTTTATTTACTATCTAGATAACCATTTTTTCGATTCTAATAGTTGCTTTGAAATGTACCTTCAAATAAAGTTTCGTTTTCTTCTAGTCGATGTTTAAATGTGTCTTGTTTACGATTCATGCGCAACTGGCACTAATATATAATGACAAAGTCTGTGAGTTTTATCATTCAAGAAATACCCAGTTTTGATGTGAAGTTGGTTGTAAAACATTCAGTTTATACTGATCTGATCTACTAATAACACTTGCCTCTCCATCATTGAATTATTTTGTTTAATTGAACTTCATTTGTGGAATTTATGCTTTAGAATTAATTGGATTTTTCGAATTCGAGATTTTGAGCGGTTACACATTAGCTCATAATTCTTGGCTTTAAAACGTCTGTTCTATTTGGTTGTGTCAGTCATCATTAACATCAATGTATATCAGTCTAAGTCCGTACATCTCTCAGCACAATAAAAAAGGAAGCCCTAACGCTAATTAACGGATCGGAATTCCTATCAACCCAAATATGAGAAATAATGGCGTAAATAAGATTGTAGAACTAAAATCACAGAAGGACAATAAACTCGAAATGTTAAGAGAAATGGGGAATAATACATTTCCAACGCCGTGAATAATTATGGGGCATTTTATCCAACGTCTCCAATTTTCATTTATTTGATTAATGCACATAAATTGCGATACAGCCAAATACCGAAAATAGACTCCCACACAAAGTACGGCAATAAAATTGTTAAGAAAAAACAAAACGGAGGGATGGGGAGTATAGTCAAAGAGTAATGAAAAATTAAGCAAAGTAAATGAACGAAATTCTTATCAGCTAACAATATAACTGAGAAAGATTTTTTTCCATTAAAGAAGCTCACCTAACTTTCACGAGGAATTTGACAGAGTCCTACGTCAGGATCATCATCGGCTTCGATTTTGACCCACATCTGATGCCTAAAACCACTGAATTTCACTATCGCACCCCAGCCAGCGAGTTGTGATAAACCGACAGATCCCATTCTTATACGGTTTTCTCTCATAACTCAGTCATGTATTACAAACTGACCACCTCTCCGCTTCTTCTAACCATTCCGAGAGTCGATAAATTCGCTGGGACGACATTCTTAGCACATATCCAAGCCATCAAAGCCGGTGTTTCAAGACAATCGCACTAATTAAGTTATCGTTGCTAAACCTGGACATTGCTAACGTGACATTACTACTGGACGTCAACAGTTCTTCACAGACGACGTTGATTGAATACAGTCACCAAATGTCTTCAATTCAGAGGCCTGCTCCCCTAGCATAAAACTAACTTGGTCTCACCAAGATGTAAACACAACGTTTTACAGTCAGACTAATATCATTTGCGATTGACGAACGACCTTCAATACGAAGCTAAAATTCATCAACAGCTAGTAACCTTATGTCTTAATTCAGTTTGAAATGATTTGGATTTTCCCATTGTTGAATTTTGGACTGAAATTTAATCAGTCTTGGTTGACATATGTGCATTGCTTTGATATACTCATTATGACAAGTTAATATAAAATAAATGATATGTGGCCGGCAGTAGATAACGCGGTGGCCTTCCAAGCGAACGTCAACTCAGAGATGCAGGTACGTCCAGCCGATGAGTCCTGAATAGGACGAAAATGCATCTTCGATCCCACTACCAGTCATATCTCATGTATTCTACAATAACTTTATGGTTGGCTATTATATCGTTGTCTTCCCGCTTCTAACTTTCTTCTAACCTATTTCTATACTAGTCAGTATTGGATGTCGAGGTAGGTGAGTGATTAGACTGGCGTAGTGTCCCAACCGTCTCTGTCGACGAAGGTTTATAACTTTATCAATTGACTAATATATTTCACCCAAAGCCCTACGTCTTACTCCAACAACTTCCACTTTCACAATACATGAGCAGTACTTCGAATACACCTATAATTAAATAATTTCAAGTGACACTTGTTTTATACTTGTACAAGTCATGTTTCTTAGCCGTACAACAATATAGAATGGACGTCTGCTTACTGTAATCGCCGCTTGATAAACAGACGAACATATTTCCTTCATGATTGTTTATTTGTTCAACAACTAAGGAGTATCAACTCTAGTAGGTGTATGCTGTATGCCAACAGACATCGGATTTAGTTGGCTCAGCAGGTCGCTAGAGCTCAGAAGTCAGACTTGACAGATGCTGGGCGGACATCGGGTTGGATGGCTTGGTAGTTCGACATTACTACGGAGATCAGCGCGCCGGCTGACTCAACATTTTGATGGAGAGCGTGACACAAACTACGACAAAGAAGAAAGTGGCACGGCAAGCAGAACAACCACAAGAGCAACTGCCAAAAGGGAAAACGAGTGTGTCGGCAGACATAAGTATTGTGTAACACCAGAAGTGGAATGCCCGACCGTTGTTCAAAAGGCTATAGTTAATCTGAAACGAGGAAGGGCAGCTGGTCCAGATGGATTGGCTCCAGAGGTCTTTAAGGATGGTGGGCCAATTTTAGCGATTAGGTTGACTAATATTTTAGCTAAAATCTGGGAGTTAGACGTTATTCCATCTGACTGGTCACAATCACTTATCGTCCCAATATATAAGAAAGGGTCAAAATCATCCTGTGACAACCACAGAGGGATTAGTTTAACTAATATAATATCTAAAATACTAGCTTCGATAATTATCAGACGCTTAACTAAGACTCGTGAACTGGAAACACGAGAGAATCAAGCTGGCTTCAGACCTGGTCGTGGCTGCATCGACCACATATTCACCATTCGTCAGGTTCTAGAACACAGGCATACTTATCGACGTCCGACAATGGTGGTCTTTCTTGACTTAAAGGCAACATTTGACTCGGTAGACCGCGAGATTCTGTGGCAGTGTCTGTGATTGAAAGGCTTACCTCAGAAGTACATAAACCTTGTGAAGGCTCTTTACTCGAACACTACTAGTCGAGTGAGAGCTTATGGCGAACTGTCATCTACTTTTGCAACCTCAAGTGGTGTCCGTCAAGGCTGTCCACTTTCCCCATTTTTGTTTAACTTCATCATAGATCTACTGATGGAAATGACATTCTCGTTGACTGAGTTCTCGGGTATTGATCTCCTACCAGGAGGTCCACTTATCGACTTAGAATACGCAGATGACATAGTCCTGTTTGGTGAAGACGCTGACAAAATGCAGAGTCTTCTGGTAGCATTGAGCAACAATGCCAGAATGTTTGGAATGCGCTTCTCTCCCTCTAAATGCAAGTTGTTGCTTCAAGACTGGTCTGCGTTAACACCTGAACTAAGGATAGGGAGTGAAGTGGTCGAACGCGTTGACAACTTCACTTATCTTGGAAGTCTGATCAGCCCTAATGGGTTGGTATCGGACGAAATCTCAGCACGGATTCGAAAAGCTCGATTGGCTTTTACCAACTTACGTCACCTTTGGCGAAGGCGAGATATCCGTCTATCAATAAAAGGACGAGTATACTGCGCGGCAGTCCGTTCTGTTTTAATTTACGGCAGCGAAACATGGCCTTTAAGAGTAGAAGACACTCGTAAGCTATTAGTATTTGACCACAGATGCCTTAGAAATATTGCTGGCGTCTGCTGGGATCACCGGGTAAGTAATAGTGAGGTTAGACGCAGGGTATTAGGGAATGATAGTAAATCTGTTGATGAGGTTATGAATCTTCATCGACTGAGATGGTTGGGCCACGTGTTACGTATGCCTGAACACCGATTACCACGACGTGCAATGCTATCCGGTATTGGAAATGGTTGGAAGAAAGTTAGGGGCGGCCAAACCAAAACGTGGCATCAGTGCTTGAAGTCACTAACTTCTAGTCTGAGCCATGTTGGTAGATGCAGACTACTTGGTTGGGGTCCGCGTGACTATCGTAACCAATGGTTGGAGACTCTTGGTGACATGGCTCAGAATCGATCACAATGGCGTCGGTGTATACACTCCCTGTCTTCCCTTAAACTAAGAGATTAAAATCGCTTCATATCTTTCTTTCTACGAACCAATTCTTTCTTCTTGTACTATATCTCTATATGCAATCTTTCTCTTATATATTACTACCTTTGACCTAACCACTGCTATGAATCCGGTGTTCATCTTGTGGTGCTGATGCGGTATGGCAACCTGGACCGATGCACATATGTGCCTGGTCCTACGTTGTAGCTGACTGACTGCCTGGCAGCAGAAGTTTGAAAAGATCGAATTGAAGAGAACGGGAATGTAAACAGGGATTTATTCTATTAGCAATGAAGGAACGATGAAGTTTGAGATAATTGATGGAAGGTTTGTAAATGAATTACTCAATATATCGTTTTTCACATTTTACGACAGAACTCTGTAATATTGCACTTAATAATAAATTGGTCTTCCCTACCTTACTGTTTGTTCACTACAGGTACATACAATATTCTTTGTTATGTTTTCCTTTGAGCGATTACAGATTTATTGCATTATTCAGTGATTAACATTCATTGCATTTTTCACCTGTTCAAGTTGTTTACAATATTTAATTATGTATTATATAGGATGCATCATCCATCTTCCGGTTTAGAAATTACTATGCCAGAGAATGTTTGTATACTGGCGAATGAAATTTCTCAAATAAAGTTAACTATTCGCAATCCAACACTAAGTGACTGTACTAAACTTAAGTGAGTTTTACTTTTAAGTGTATTCAAATAACTACCTATCTTTTTACCAAATTTTTATTCAACAAATATCCATAAGCACAATTTTAGATCATTTTCATTTGTCATAAACCTATCGTATTGCCGTGGTTGATGTCTTTTCCTTATTTATGAGATTCAAACTCATTTGTATTGGTTTATTATATAATTTGTTTAAAACATAAAACTAATATACCTGAACAGCAAATCGCTTGTCGATTGTTTTTTAGATTGTCAAATGAATTTTATGTGAAGAATTAATTCAAAATAATGAGTATATAGAATCGCATATTTGTCATATGGTGATTTCTTAGGTTACAATTCCAGTTATTGTATACTTAATCTTACAGTTGCCGATATCCTCAGTGACCATTCATCATTATCTGTTTCTTTGTGCTTTATCGAATGCTAAAATATGTACAAATACTTAACTTTTATATCTAACCGAAATTGAATAATCTGTGCAATACATAGGTTTCTTAGACCTTTTAATGTATTCGTAGTCCTAATACACAAACGTTTAGTTTTTGAAAGGCCGTTTCTTTTCAAATGAGAAGCATTTTTGTGTTTTATACCAAGTTTTTCTAAACCCACATATGTGTTCACTAACACGTAGTTTTATAAGTCTTGGTAATCATGTTCAATCATATTTTTTATTGAACGTTTATTGTTTTGGCAGTCATAACCCAGTAATTTCTAACTGGTGATCAACCGTTTGATCACGGATTAAAACAAACTTTTTTGCGCCATCATTCTGAACGTATATATGGTTTCATTTACATTACTAGGGCTTGATACATTACGTTAACCTATTTTAGTTTTGAATCAATTATTTTGTATTACGTTTCCGTTTCATGATTATCTTTTTCAAATTTCGTTTTGGCTCAATATCGACAAGGATGTTTTCAGTGATGTTAAATGTCTTCTATTTTATTGTACTGAAGTTTGGTAGTTACATAAGTCTTGTCACTTTTGTCTTTCATTGACTTAGTTTTATACTTCCGTCACTTCAGCTATTCTTATAAACGTATCAGTTGTTATCGAAATAAAAACATCATTATTTTGTTGTTGTTTAATAAAATTTATGTCTCTACTATTGCAACCTTTAAAATATTCCGGAAACAGTATCCCTTATTAGAACGTTTTTGCAAATATGATTGAGTTTAGTTGTATTTGATGTGAAATTTTTCAATCTTAACGTGACTTGAAACCTCAACGTTTTTTACAGAATATCTGTAACTTAAGTTGTTTGTTTTTGTATTCGTAGTTTAACTGTCCGTTTAATTTCGAGAGAAAAAGATTCAACCGAATTTCCTGACAATGCTAGTAATACTTCTACCACAACCACAACAATGATTACAAATCCAACTGTAATAGACAATTATATAATAGTCGGCAGTTCATCTGAATTAATATCTCATATATCAGCTAAAAATATTAATTCATCTCAAAAACCAAGTAGTGCGTATTTTACAAAGAAGTTAGACGATATCCCGTCAAATCAATCTATATCTGTGACAATTTCATTATGTTGTTCATCTCCTTCGTTAGTTTCTAATAATAATCAAACACTTTCATGTTATTTGACTTTCTCTACTAAAATTTTACCTTGTGAATATCCCGATTATTTATTATCATTATCGGATTCATTAACAACAGAAACAACATTAGTATATAATGTTATACATGAATCTGTGAAATTATCTAATAACATGGAGCTGTCGAATATAAATAATCATTTAGTTCAAAATATAATGGACCAAAATGCAATGGTAATTCAATGTACTCAGAATATTGAAACTAATATAACTATCTTGTCACCATTTGAATTAGACTATAAACTGCTTTCCTTAACAGTAAGTTTTGTTTTATTATTAGTATTATCACAGTTATTTTAAATTAGTTTGCAATTTACACCACACTAGAAATGATTATGCTGTACGTTTCTGCTGATTTTACTGTATATGTATCTGTTTGGTTTCGAAACGAGGTAAATCTATTGTATCTTTAAAAACGTGATCAGATTAGAACTTGATTCGATTTGGGAAATAAATAATACAACACAGAAATCCCTATTGGCATTCAGTCATAGCCACTCTCATTGATCTGAGTGTGATATGTGAGTTCTTGTAACACTATTTGACAGCGAACAACTTATCTGATAAATATTATACTCTTAATCCAGTGATTCTCAATTGTTATAAGCCTGATAACAGGGTATTTAAAGTAGTATTGATTCAGAATATCCATATTTCCGATTGTCATTCCGGTTTTATTGTCTAACCTATTTAATTGATGTGAACAAATATAAATCGGCAGTTTAAAATTCCCCATAGCTTATTCAGAAATGAAGAATATTTGATCGAACAATTGTTTTCAATAACTTCATTATCAGGTTCTTCAGTTATAAGTCCATAATTATTACGACATTTTACTAAGGCCAAAATAAGGCATGTATTAATAAGTTCGACAATCCTATATGTTGAAAATGGTGAACGTTTGCGTCTGTTATGACATAACTACTTCAAAATTGTGTTATTTGTAAATTAGAAACGTCCTTTAATAAAAATTATGATCATTTGTCGTAGTGTCAAATCACAATCAGTATAATACTAATATAGCAAAAATGAAAATGCAAAAAATCGTGTGAATCAAATGCATAGTAAAAGGATTTCCATTTTTCACTATTACTATTATTGCTATTATCATTATTATATCAGTTAAATATAAATCACACAATACTTTTAGATAAAGTACTTCACTTTATTTTTCTAAGCATCTTTAAAATCATGAACACGCTCGGAATTCGTTTCTGAGCGCCAAAATTCAGAAAGTTGTTTTAGAAGCAATCAACATGAATGCTTTATTTGACAAAAGAAAAAATAAGTGGTTTAACGGATTCACTTCATTATTTATTTTTATCGATTGATTATTAACATTGACTTGATGCGGAATCGATTGATCCTTACTTCATCTCCATTTTTTAAAATTTAGATCTCGCTCGCCTCCAGTGTCACCATTAAGTTTGTCCTGATAACTGGAGTAAGGGTCAACCTGATGATGCATCATTCGGTTATTTATACGCTAATAATTTAAGTAACAACTATTAAAAACATAAATGCTATAACTATCTCCGGTGTTTGTTTTCCTATTTCATTTTTTAGCAACATCCTATTAAAAGTCTTATAGTTAACGACGAGTTTTTGTTATTGTTCAAGTTAACCAATACAGCTGATTGTGAACTGGAAATACATGATATACAGTTGGAAGTGGTAAGTTGATGTATATATATATATATATATATATATATATATATATATATATATATATATTTGTTGGGCTCCGCGCGACTGTCGTAATCAACGGTTGGAGACTGGGTGACATGGCTCAAAATCGATCACGATGACGTAGGTGTATGCTCCCTCTGCGTTCCCTTAAACCGTGAGACTAAAGTTACTGTATGCTTTTCTTTCCACGAACTAATTCGTTCTCCTCGTATTATATCCTTATACGCAATCTTTCTTTTATGTATTACTACCATTGAAGTACCCGACTGTCGCTGCTACCTTGACGTGATAGCCAGGTTCGCCTACCTTAATGAACCAATCGAGCTATACTGGCTGGAGCAATCATTCCTCAAGGTCAGAAGGTGAAGTCGTACTACTGACTGTACAGAGGTGTGACGGCACTAAGGTATCTCTCTCAGACAACCAGCATAACAGGGATGGTACCTTCCCACAAAGGAATAGTGGGGTTAGAAAAGGTTGACCCTATAAATGCACACCTCGCCTTATCCCACAATTTTCCGTCTCCGGTGGTAAGGTCCCAAAAAGTACGGAGCTAACATGAAAACTACTCACAAAAAGGTCGTGTGTGACCGACCTCAAGCAGTTGTCCCTTGGGCACTGCGGTCATGATCTCAGGTCTCTAAGACCAACTCTAATCGAATTTCCTTTTCAGGTACCTCTAGAAGAACCCTTCTACGTTGCGGGCAACTGGGAAGTAATAAACACTCCCACACCTCTAACAGCGCTGAAGACTCACCTTTGAAGTAAACCCTCAAATGCCATGGTTCGGCCGATGATCAGCTCTCCCTCTCGAAATGCTCTCATATGGCCACGTGCATACAACGACTGCCACGGAAGTCTTACTCACTGCCTTCTTGCTTCTGGGATGTTTTTACGAAATTGAGAGGACGAAAAGCAAATATCCGGCGCTTTAACGGAGTTGGTGGACATGGAGTTCACCTAGGGGAGTTGGGAAACCCTGATTCCAAACCAGTGGTACACATGGGCTACAGTATCCTGAAGGAACAAATGGCGTATGAACCTATTGTTGGTCACCGGCCACCATGTTACTGCATCTCCTTGAGTTGCTCCACTGCCTTGTGGATCAGACCTTTAGGTCGAGGGCTCTGTTTTAGCTGACTGAATGATATAACGCTTGTTTTGTAATGAATGTCTCTTCATCATATGTGATGTATATTCTTCAGAAATGAATATTTAAGCACTGTGTCATATATGAACAGATCTATATACATATTCAATGTCTTAATAATTATTTTCATGGGTCTCCCTAATACTTTTATTTACATAAATTATATTTTAGGCTAATGAGATATCGTATGGAAGTGACTTACATAATACATGCATCAAAAACTGTAAGTTTAAGTAACCGTCTTTGTAAATTTTTATTTTTTATTAATAACTAAACTTGATTTTCTTTATACAATTTATGATCATTATATACCAGTACGTTTATTTCTTTCATGTGTGCAGCATTTAAATTCGATACTTCATGTTTGAATGCTTGTTCAATGATTCAGTAAATAATTTCAACACCTTTCAGTGCCATTCATTTTTCCTGTATATACCTCTCATTTGTATACTTACAAGGAAGACAAATTGAATCTGTTTGTAGTGTTCGGAAAATACTTACTTACTTACTTACGCCTGTTACTCCTCGTGAAGGAGCATAGGCCGCTCACCAGCGTTCTCCATCCAACCCTGTCCTGGGCAATCCTTTCTAGCTCCGTCCAGTTGTAATTCATCGTTTTCATATCTGCTTCTATTATCCGACGCAATGTGTTCTTTGGCCTTCCTCTTTTTCGCTTCCCCTCAGGATTCCAAGTTAGGGCTTGCCTCGTGATGCAGTTTGACGATTTGCGTAATGTATGTCCTATCCATTTCCATCGTCTTTTCCTAATTTCTTCTTCAGCTGGAAGTTGGTTTGTTCTTTCCCACAGAAGGCTGTTGCTGATGGTATCCGGCCAATGGATGTTGAGTATCTTGCGAAGACAGCTATTTATAAATACTTGTACTTTCTTGATTGTGGTTGTTGTAGTTCTCCAAGTTTCAGCTCCATACAGCAGAACTGCCTTGACGTTCGTATTGAAGATTCTCACTTTGATATTGGTTGAAAGTTGTTTTGAGTTCCATATGTTCTTCAATTGTAGGAATGCGACCCTTGCTTTGCCGATCCTCGCCTTTACGTCTGCATCTGAGCCTCCTTGTTCATCGATGATGCTTCCCAGATATGTGAAGGACTCTACATCTTCCAGAGTTTCGCCATCAAGAGTGATTGGATTGCTGTTCTCCGCTTTGAATTTGAGGACCTTAGTTTTCCCTTTGTGTATGCTGAGGCCTACTGATGCAGAGACTGCTGCTACACTGGCTGTCTTCATCTGCATCTGTTCGTGTGTACGTGATAGGAGGGCTAGGTCATCTGCGAAGTCCAAATCGTCTAATTGATTCTGAGCTGTCCATTGTATTCCGTGTTTTCCTTCAGATGTTGAGGTCTTCATAATCCAGTCGACCACCATAAGAAAAAGGAAGGGAGAGAGTAAACAGCCTTGTCTGACTCCGGTCCTTACTTGGAATGCATCTGTCAGCTGTCCTCCATGCACTACTTTGCACTGTAGTCCGTCGTATGAGTTTCGGATTATATTGACAATCTTCTCAGGAATTCCGTAGTGTCGAAGAAGTTTCCATAACGTCCTCCTGTCTACACTGTCGAATGCCTTTTCATAATCAATGAAGTTGATGTATAATGATGAGTTCCACTCAACTGATTGTTCGACGATGATCCGTAGTGTTGCAATTTGGTCTGTGCACGACCGATCCTTACGGAATCCAGCTTGTTGATCTCGAAGTTGGGCGTCTACTGCATCCTTCATCCGGTTCAGCAACACTCTGTTGAAGACTTTCCCTGGTATTGACAGTAGTGTTATGCCTCTGTAGTTCTCACATTTGCTCAGATCTCCTTTCTTTGGAATCTTGACGAGGTGTCCTTCTTTCCAGTCCATCGGCACTTGTTCCTCTTCCCAAATCTTTTTGAATAGAAGATAAAGCATGCTTGTGGTTGTTTCGATGTCTGATTTCAGTGCTTCAGCTGGTATGTTGTCGGGTCCTGCTGCTTTCCCGTTCTTGATTTGTCTGACGGCCATTCTAATTTCTTCCGTAGTCGGTGGATTGACATCTATAGGAAGATCTATGTGTGCTGCTTCGATGTCCGGTGGATTCATTGGAGCCGGCCTATTCAGGAGTTCCTTGAAGTATTCTACCCATCTGTTACGTTGTTGTTGAATTTCGGTGATTGGCTTGCCTTCTTTGTCTTTGACCGGCCTCTCTGGTTTACTGTATTTCCCTGCTAGTTTCTTCGTTGTATCGTAAAGCTGTTTCATGTTTCCTTCTCTAGCAGCTTTTTCTGCCGTCGTTGCTAGTTCTTCAACGTATTTCTTCTTGTCGGCTCTAATGCTCCTCTTCACTTGTTTGTTTGCTTCTATGTATTCAGCTTGTGCTTGTACTTTCTCTGCTCGTGTTCGGCTGTTGTTTATTGCTGCCTTCTTGTTCTTCCTTTCTTTGATCTTGTCCACTGTTTCTGTAGAGATCCATTCCTTATGATGGTATTTCTTTAGACCGAGAACCTCTTGACACGTTGAAGTTAATGCTTCCTTGATGCCTTTCCAGTTGTCCTCCATAGTAGTTTCTTCTTCTTTCAGTAGATCTCGTAAGGCTTGGAACCTGTTGTTGAGAGCTATCTTGAATTCATTGAGTTTGACAGTATCTCGAAGGAAGGCTGTATTGAACCTTTGTATTGCTGTTTGTCCACTTGTCCAGTTCTTTTTTAGCTTCAGTTTCAAATTGGCTACAACTAGGTGGTGGTCTGAAGCTACGTCAGCACCTCTCCTGGTTCTCACATCTTCCATTGTCCTTCGGAATTTTTTGTTGATGCAAATATGATCTATTTGGTTCTCTGTAGTGTGGTCCGGTGAGATCCATGTAGCCTTGTGTATACGCTTGTGTGGAAATATTGTGCCTCCTATGACCAATTTGTTGAATGCGCATGGATTTGCAAATCTTTCTCCATTTTCGTTTCTTCCTCCCAGTCCATGTCGTCCCATAATATCTTCATATCCAGTGTTGTCTATTCCGACTTTGGCATTTAGATCTCCCATTAGAATGGTGAGGTCCTTTTTTGGGCATTTCTCTATCACTGACTGCAGCCGCTCGTAGAACTGATCTTTAATTTCGTCGTTGCTATCATTGGTGGGTGCATAACATTGGATAATATTCATTAAGATCCCCTCCTTCTTTGTTTTGAATGATGCTTTGATGATTCTGGATCCATGAGATTCCCATCCTACAAGTGCATTTCGTGGTACTTTGGACAGCATAAGAGCGACTCCCTGAGTGTGTGGAGCATTTTCCTCTTCGTGACCGGAGTATAGCAGCATCTCTCCCGTAGCTAGCCTTTTCTGTCCAGCTTGGGTCCAGTGGGTTTCGCTGACTCCCAGTACTGCTAAGTTGTATCTCCTCATTTCCATTGATATTTGACTGGTCTTCCCGGTTTCCCACATTGTTCGAACGTTCCATGTACCTATAAAAATTTTTGCTCTGGTTGTTAGAAGGGGCATCGGCCTCGTGGCTTCCGAAGGAACTCGGCTTTCACCATGAAGCGTCATAATTCTTCTAAATGAAGACCTTCTAACTCCCAGGGCAGAGTTAAAATGGTTTGGATTATTTTTTCTGGTAAGCGTTTTTTTAGCGAGTTAGTTTTCTACGGGATGGGGACGCTAACCCCATGCCCAACCCTCCTCCTTTACCCGGGCTTGGGACCGGCAGCAACCCTATAAGAGCTACAGGCGGAGTTGTTCGGAAAATAAAAGATAATAAAATATTTTGAAAGTATCTATCGATGAAATAGTTAAACAACAACTATTAATTATCCGATATGTTCTGATTGACAATATACTCCAACCTAATGTTATGTAACCGATGAGCACGAAACTACCTTACGAAAAACAAACCACAAAGACTTGTATCCTTTTTCGTAAGATAAAAATGACGGTTTATAAGTTTCTTTCAAATCCCCTATATGTATTTTTAGCGATGTATAATTATCGCAGCGTTATCAAAATTGTGTAAGTCTATGAGATGTCTATAAAAACAGCTAAAAGTCGACATTTCGTTTGTGTTATAGTCCAATGCCACAAATCAGAAGCAGCGAATTAGCGATCAGATCAAGGACGCGTAAAACACGTGCGAGCAGCCTAGAGTTCTGACTGTTCTTGCTTCCCACCTAGCCCAGCCAGTTAAGTCCAGAACTCCAATCTTCCTTACGCTTGTTACTCCTCGTGAAGGAGCATAGGCCGCTCACCAGCATTCTCCATCCAACCCTGTCCTGGGCAATCCTTTCTAGCTCCGTCCAGTTGTAATTCGTCGTTTTCATATCTGCTTCTATTATCCGACGCAATGTGTTCTTTGGCCTTCCTCTTTTTCGCTTCCCTTCAGGATTCCAAGTTAGAGCTTGCCTCGTGATGCAGTTTGACGATTTGCGTAATGTATGTCCTATCCATTTCCATCGCCTTTTCCTAACTTCTTCTTCAGCTGGAAGTTGGTTTGTTCTCTCCCACAGAAGGCTATTGCTGATGGTATCCGGCCAATGGATGTTGAGTATCTTGCGTAGACAGCTATTTATAAATACTTGTACTTTCTTGATTGTGGTTGTTGTAGTTCTCCAAGTTTCAGCTCCGTACAGTAGAACTGCCTTGACGTTCGTATTGAAGATTCTAACTTTGATATTGGTTGAAAGTTGTTTTGAGTTCCATATGTTCTTCAATTGTAGGAATGCGACCCTTGCTTTGCCAATCCTTGCCTTTACGTCTGCATCGGATCCTCCTTGTTCATCGATGATGCTTCCCAGGTATGTGAAGGACTCTACATCTTCCAGAGTTTCGCCATCAAGAGTGATTGGATTGCTGTTCTCCCTGTTGCATTTGAGGACCATGGTTTTCCCCTTGTGTATGCTGATGTTTACTGATGCAGAGACTGCTGCTACACTGGCTGTCTTTATCTGCATTTGTTCATGTGTAGGCGATAGGAGGGCTAAGCCATCTGCGAAGTCCAAATCGTCTAATTAATTCTGAGATGTCCATTGTATTCCGTGTTTTCCTTCAGATGTTGAGGTCTCCATAATCCAGTCGACTACCGGAAGAAAGAGGAAGGGAGAGAGTAAACAGCCTTGTCTGACTCCGGTCCTTACTTGGAACGCATCTGTCAGCTGTCCTCCATGCACTACTTTGCACTGTAGTCCGTCGTATGAGTTCCGGATAATATTGACAATCTTCTCAGGAACTCCGTAGTGTCGAAGAAGTTTCCATAATGTCCTCCTATCTACACTGTCGAATGCCTTTTCATAATCAATGAAGTTGATGTATAGTGATGAGTTCCACTCAACTGATTGTTCGACGATGATCCGTAGTGTTGCAATTTGGTCTGTGCACGACCGATCCTTACGGAATCCAGCTTGTTGAACTCGAAGTTAGGAGTCTACTGCATCCTTCATCCGGTTCAGCAACACTCTGTTGAAGACTTCCCCTGGTATTGACAGTAGTGTAATGCCTCTGTAGTTTTCACATTTGCTCATATCTCCTTTCTTTGGAATCTTGACGAGGTGTCCTTCTTTCCAGTCCATCGGCACTTGTTCCTCCTCCCAAATCTTTTTGAATAGAAGATAAAGCATGCTTGTGGTTGCTTCGATGTCTGATTTCAGTGCTTCAGCTGGTATGTTGTCGGGTCCTGCTGCTTTCCCGTTCTTGATTTGTCTGACGGCCATTCTAATTTCTTCCGTCGTTGGTGGGTTGACACCTATAGGAAGATCTGCGTGTGCTGCTTCGATGTCCGGTGGATTAATTGGAGCCGGCCTATTCAGGAGTTCCTCGAAGTATTCTACCCATCTGTTACGCTGTTGTTGAATTTCGGTGATTGGCTTGCCTTCTTTGTCTTTGACCGGCCTCTCTGGTTTACTGTATTTCCCTGCTAGTTTCTTCGTTGTATTGTGAAGCTGTTTCATATTTCTTTCTCTTGCAGCTTTTTCTGCCGTCGTTGCTAGTTCTTCCACGTATTTTTTCTTGTCGGCTCTAATGCTCCTCTTCACTTGTTTGTTTGCTTCTTTGTATTCAGCTTGTGCTTGGACTTTCTCTGTTCGTGTTCGGCTGTTGTTTATTGCTGCCTTCTTGTTCTTCCTTTCTTTAATCTTGTCCAGTGTTTCTATAGAGATCCATTCCTTATGATGGTATTTCTTTAGACCGAGAACCTCTTGACACGTTGAAGTTAATGCTTCCTTGATGCCTTTCCAGTTGTCCTCCATAGTAGTTTCTTCTTCTTTCAGTAGATCTTGTAAGGCTTGGAACCTGTTGTTGAGAGCTATCTTGAATTCATTGAGTTTGTCAGTATCTCGAAGGAAGGCTGTATTGAACCTTTGTATTGCTGTTTGTCCTCTTGTCCAGTTCTTTTTTAGCTTCAGTTTCAAATTGGCTACAACTAGGTGGTGATCTGAAGCTACGTCAGCACCTCTCCTGGTTCTCACATCTTCCATTGTCCTTCGGAATTTTTTATTGATGCAAATATGATCTATTTGGTTCTCTGTAGTGTGGTCCGGTGAGATCCATGTAGCCTTGTGTATACGCTTGTGTGGAAATATTGTGCCTCCTATGACCAATTTGTTGAATGCACATAGATTTGCAAATCTTTCTCCATTTTCGTTTCTTTCTCCCAGTCCATGTCGTCCCATAATATCTTCATATCCAGTGTTGTCTATTCCGACTTTGGCATTTAGATCTCCCATCAGAATAGTTAGGTCCTTTCTTGGGCATTTCTCAATGATTGACTGCAGCCGCTCGTAGAACTGATCTTTAATTTCGTCGTTGCTATCATTGGTGGGTGCATAACATTGGATAATATTCATTGTGATCCCCTTCTTCTTTGTTTTGAATGATGCTTTGATGATTCTGGATCCGTGAGATTCCCATCCTACAAGTGCATTTCGTGGTACTTTGGACAGCGTAAGAGCGACTCCTTGAGTGTGTGGAGCATTGTCCTCTTCGTGACCGGAGTATAGCAGCATCTCTCCCGTAGCTAGCCTTTTCTGTCCAGCTTGGGTCCAGTGGGTATCGCTGATTCCCAGTACTGCTAAGTTGTATCTCCTCATTTCCATTGCTATTTGACTGGTCTTCCCGGTTTCCCACATTGTTCGAACGTTCCATGTACCTATAAAAATTTTTGCTCTGGTTGTTAGAAGGGGCATCGGCCTCGTGGCTTCCGAAGGAACTCGGCTTTCACCATGAAGCGTCATAATTCTTCTAAATGAAGACCTTCTAACTCCCAGGACAGAGTTAAAATGGTTTGGATTATTTTTTCTGGTAAGCGTTTTTTTAGCGAGTTAGTTTTCTACGGGATGGGGACGCTAACCCCATGCCCAACCCTCCTCCTTTACCCGGGCATGGGACCGGCAGCAACCCTATTAGAGCTACAGGCGGAGTTAGAACTCCAATCTTAGCCCCTGTAATATAAATCATTATATTTCAAACATACTTAGTTTATATATCAATCAAACAGACCACAACGCAGCATAAAATAGAAAATAACATTTGTACAAAATTTGTCCAAATGTGGCTGTGAATGTGTGAGGTAGTGACTAATAGACAGGGCATAATTCAAGAATGGTAAAACGTATAATGATGGTTCATAGGTCAAAATAAAGTTTATAATAAAAGGAATATGAATATAAATAGTTTAGTTATTTAACAATTATACGATAAAAATATACGTTTAGTATTGGTCCATAAAAGGATCCCAAAGTTACCATTCATTATGTTTGTCGGGACCTAACAGTTTGTAACAATATATTTTTAGAAATTTTTATCCCGGGTTTTAGCAAAGGAATTAGGAAATTAATGATCTCATTAGTAATAATGAGTATCAGTGAATCTGCGGTACGTAATGCGATAGTACGGAAACTGAAGAAAATACGTTTCTTCGGATTTAGTTAGTTAGTCGTCTCCCTGTTGTTTAAATCTTTAAAACCGTTTTTAATTGTATGAACACAATAGAGATATTTAAGGAATTCATTGATAAACTCAAATGAACAAAACAATCATTCACTGTTCTAACTGATTTTCTGTTTATCTGTTGACTGAATGCCACTTAATATACGTAGTAATGACATTTATTTATTCTTTCAATCATTTTATTTATAATGGGTTAAATTTTCTATTGGTATAACAACAATTCATTAAAATCATTCTTTTTTTTCTCATTTTAGTAATTATGCAATCCTCAGAAAGTTGTACTGAATGTCACATGTTATTATTAACAGAAACAATGAACTCACTCGAAACAATAAATCTAGGCTATATTACTGTTCATTGGTCACGGTCAGTGTATAATATTAATATTATATATATTTCTGTTACTGTGGAAATAGAATAAGTCGACCGATAGCTGACATCTGCCAACAGCACAAAAGTAGTAAATATACACCACTTACCAAACATATCCATAAAAAATGTAACACACTTATCATTAGTAAAGAGATGAGTAATCTATATTCTTCAGTGAATGTATAAATATTCATTATAAACTTATACATTTTAAAATCGAATAAAAGCAAACCTTGGTATTATTTGAAGTTTCGAGTAATATTCTCAGTAAAATACATAAAATGTTCTTTAATAAACCGCCTGATTTGTTAACCTTCGGTGTCTCGGTAACATTACCAAAGTAGATTATCGTTCTTCTAAATAATTTTCGAAATTCTTTCAGATTGTTCCCACATACATTTATTTAATGTTGCTAAATCAGAATTTTGAATACTCTTGTGCAGCGCACTACAAAATCAATAATCATTATGTCTTTTTTAATTTTCAGCATTCAGTTTTCTTAGTATGACAACCAAATAGTGAACATAATGTTCATTATCATACTTGCCCTTCCTAATAATACCCTTATTTGCCCTGTAGAGTTTGGTTATATCAGGTTGTTTTTTTACCTCCTTTTACCTAGTTGGATTAAAACTTAACACTGTCAATGTCAGTGTCCCATTTGCTAAATAGAAGAGGATTTGTAGTTTTTTGTTGTAGGGATTAAGTCTTCAGTCCCCATAAACTAGACCTTCATATAATTTTAGAAGCGATGCATATTTCATGTTTATTTAATAACTTATCGTTCTCTGTATCTTGTTGAATATCGCTATCAATGCTTTTGCTGTCAATGTGATGAAAAATGTATACACTACTTGTTTTCAGAATATATTTATTGTAACCGAATTTAGAATAAATTCATTTTCGTGTATATTCATACAACTTATGTTCAGTTTTATGCAATATGTGTTGAATCATCCTGACTTAGACTAAGTGGTAAGTGAAAAAATACTTACGGACTCACGCTACTGGTTGAAAATGTTGCTTCATTTTTCGAGAGAAAAAGATATATATTTATGTTTGAGTTGTAAAGGTACTCTTGATTTGGTTAGCCTTTAAAAGCTTCATACTCTTTATTTTCTCACTCAAGTATACGTTTTAGACATGCATATAGGAATCGTTTATATCAGTAGCAAACTCAGACAACCTCAGTACATACTGGTACGTTTATTAAATTGAAGTAGAATCAATGTTTCTAGATAACCCATTTATTCTCTCCCCCCCTCTTTTTATAGTGTGTCAACACGTGATCATAATGATATGAAACCGTATATTGCAACGACAAAATTCACCTTACCGACTATTCCGGTTTTATCTTTACCTATTCAAATTAGTGCTGAACTTCCAGCTTATGGTGTTATGCTCACTCCATTTCCAATCACATTTATTTTATCTAACAAAACTATTTATCCACAGGTATTTTGAAAATTAAATTAATTTTTTTACCATGTATATAATATTCATTTAAATGTAATTTATAATAGTTATTCATCTAAAGAGAATAAATTTGCCAGTAAATCTACTTTGTCGGATGGCATACATATACAGTCAAGGCGGTAATTTAATCTACACATATTTCAACATAAATTTATTTAAAGGGACTTCGATAAACAGTGTTTTACCAACATTATTCTGGACATAACATGTTATCGTTTGTAATTCTAGCTTTAAATTATTTCTGTATTACTCCATTACTTACAACTGTTTTAATTCAGGCATGATTGCTCCCCCAGATGCCCTGGTATGGCCGAGAATGGGGTGGGCACGCCCTCCCTCTCGAAATGCTCTCACACGGCCACGCGTATACAGCCTCTGCCAGGAAAGTCCTACTCACTGCCTTCCCGTGGTAGGGGTGTTGTTTACGAAAGTGAGAGGACGAAAAGCGAATGTCCGGCGCTTTAACCGGATTCCAAAACAATGGTGCACATGGGCTCCAGTATCCTGAGGGATTAAATGGCGTATGAACCAATTGTTGGTCACCAGCTACCATGGGACTGCGATCTCCTCACGATGCTCCACTGCCTTGTGGGTTAGACCTTTAGGTCAAAGGCTCGGGGTGTGGCCCCTTAAGAAAACCACCTGCTTCGGTCTGGGCACCCGGGCAGTATCACGGCCCTCACACAAATCGGATGATTTATGTGGCGCATATCTATTTGGTGCCTCCTTGTGCCAATGTTTATGTGTTAAAATAAATAATAAATAAATGATTGCTGACTAGAGTTTCAGTGTAGTGTTTACTTCACTTTATTCCAAACCATCTAGTTCACAGTTTCATACTTACTCTCCTATCTCTTAAAAACAAGTTGTACACAAACGTGTTTCTGTTATGGAAGTTAGATTGGGATTTCATTATTTACTAGTGTTGTTTAATTTCTTGTGTGAAGTATTCAATGAATACGTTGAAACAAAAACTGGATATGAAAGAAATTCATTTGTATCTGCTGTTTATTTTATAAAACTGAGAACAACTGTCTTTTCGATAGAATCGCCCATGACATATGAGCAACTTGATCCAACTAAAATAGTTTCGTAGTTAATACTGGTGATTTTATTGTGTAAATATAGAAATGATATCTATAGAATAATCACCCAAGATATGCCATGTTTAAACAGACTACTTATATGAAATAAGTAGTGAGAATCATAAACCAATTTTTTAAGATATTTTAAATTATATATGTAAAATATGTTTACCTTTTGTCACTCATGATTAATTTTATAAAACCCCCTTGATTCGGAGTTTCAATATGAATTTTGTTACCACTTAAATATAAATGTAAAGCTGTTATCAGGTTTCATATATGTTGAGGTATTTAACGCTGTATACTTGTCAACGTATGTATTTCTACTGTATACGAAACAACAGTAAATTGCTCAGTTCTAATTCTGTTTAGTTTTATCCCAACACTCAAAAATTGTAAATTTCGCCTTACATATATATAAAGACTAGATTTATTCTTATCTTGATGATGGAGCAGATTTGTAGCTGAGGTTAATCATTTTTGTGAAATTTCGTTCTCTGAACTGGATGGTTTAATCGTATAGTCTTCATTTTTCTTCTTTACATCATCAGCATAAACTTCAGGTAGAAGTAAGGTACTCTCCACGTAAAACTAATAGCTCCTCCTGTCGACTTCGAAAAGCTCACTTTTCTCTGAATTTCATGCTGATGATGTTCAGCAGAACAATAGAAGCTTTTTCGTTTATAACATCTAGCCCAAAGAATGAAACTTCATCAAGATAATCTTGATGTACTGTTACTTGTGACGTTCACTTCAAAAAAGAAATTAGCAGAGTATTAATTCACTCCACTTTAAAATCATGAAGATAATTTCGTAAATGTAGCCGTGTCAGTGAGTCGGACCACCCAACTGGCTATAGATATTCCTCAGTCTAATCGATGGGTTCCAAAGATATCGGGCGAAATTGTTCAACTCTTCAGTGTAATACATGAACGTACAATTAACAGCTAATTTCTTTTTCGTGAAAAGAACGAATCGAGCGGATAAATTTTCTTTCAATTAGTTTTTCATCGTGGCTCTACATTAATATACATTTTTATGATTTACAACGAAATAAGACTCATGGAGTAACTACATTACGTAACAATTGAAAATAAAATTCTTCGCTCGATTTGTTAAAATGGGGATTTTCACTGTAATTTCTGCTCGTTCCTTTTTCATTCTTGGGTTCCTCACTTTTTTATTCACTAAACTAGGAGGCTGTTTTTCAATTAGAATCGATTCATGGTTTTATGTTTTCTGGTCAACAAAAGCTGAAGTTACGATTACTGCCTGACTCACCGCACTACTTGAATTATACACTACTTCCACTGATGTCTGGAAATTTGAAATTGCCTCGGTAATTTTAATTACTACTTTCCATATTGGTTGAAAATAATAATAGATTACTTTCGAAGTTTTCTATATGTACATTCATAAATATGTTCTTTATCATTGCTAAAGTGTACCAAATTATTCTATGAAACTTTGTATATTGCTTTTTTGTAATGGTGTTACATCGTAAACATTTTGGTAAGACAATTTTTTTCTTTATTGTTTATTATTTAATAGGCGAAATATGACATTTTTCCTGTACAATATATTGTAGTTCATTTTATCTAAAACATATATGTTTATCAGTTCCTAGAATGGGAATGCACTTTTTTTTAACTTTCCTATTGATCCTAATACTTCATTTACTCCGATAATATGTAGTCTATTTGATAAATACTTTCGAAATCGAATCCCTACTATTGTGTGCAGATTCCCAACATTAAATGTAAACCACAACTCTTATATCTTGTCTTACGTTGCTTCCCAGTTGCTTAAATACTGTTAAGTTTCGTCGCAGCTAAACCAACGAGCCATTGGTTAAAAGTAAGTTCATTGGGCCGTCACGTTGTATAGATTCCGTTAACTTAAGTGTTCAAAATATCTAACACTATGATCTTGTAGGTTAGTAGTCAAGGTTTCTATACACCACAATCTTTACCTGATATCATGTATTTAGATGAGACGTACCTAAAAACCATGAACCTGGGTTTTAAACTAGGTGTCGACCATCAAGAAGGCATAGTTGCAGTCTTGATGCAGCTAAAGTTCCTCGTCAATATTCAAACATGTCTCATATGTATTTCCGTGGACTCATTTGGGCTATTACTCACCTCTTGTAGAATTAAAAAAAATTACTCTACTTGAGCATCTGCTTGATAGTAAACAGTTTAGTCCCTGGTTCCAATCTGATTTTCCATTTTCCAATCCATGTTAACCAGGCAAGACGTCTGTCTATCCATATGATTTTATGGTCGAAGCGATCTGTTATTTTAGCTATCTGTCTTGAAAAAACTTTATGCTTCACTTCATTTTTTCATGTTCTTTCAATATGATTGTAATCGAATAGTGTTAGCTCAGGAAACAGTAAATTGTTATTCATTGTTTCACTAAATTACCAAAATATCATACCGTCATTTCGTTGTGTTCAGTGTCTATCAGGATGCTGTTATACACTAAGATTACGAGTCTTAAATAATACTTTTTTTCGGTTAGATTATTAGTGTAATACTCTGACTATAAAAATCTTTCATAGTAATAATGCCCTTCGAAAATAAGCCTATACTTCACTCGTTCGTTTATTTTAAGCCCAGTGCCTAAAGTCATATGTGGTAAATAAGTTACAGGTATCACAACATCTTTGAGTTATGTACACCCATTTAGTATTCCCTAACTAGTACAAAAAAATTTACGTATTCCTTAGTTTCGAATGAATTTCCTATCGATGCCAGTTTTTTTACCTTGGTTTCTCACAAAATTACATTCTAAGTCTTTTCTATATGTAATAGCTTATGCGTTCTTATTTGACAAAATGATGTTTATTATTGAAATTTTTTAACAGTTTACATGTTATGTTAGAACGTTATGCTACGTTAACATCAAACACGCAAAATGATCAACCCGATATACACATACAATTAGAAGAAAATCTCCTACGACAAGTTCCAACACATCTGTTAGTAATTGTAGGTTGTTATTATTGTTGTCTTCATTATATACTCTTTTGTTTATTAATTTACTGTTTTCATGAACATTTTCCAATGTATTTCCACTAGTTTTCCGTAGCTGAATTTTCTCTGTGTTCCAAGGCTACATTATTTTTTAAGAAGATGAAGAGGCCACAAAAATGTGATAATCTATTCTAAAAAGCCTGTTTAATTAGATCACAGATACAAATTATTTTTTGTGAATTGTTTTGATCATTTACATCTTAAACTAATTCTTAAATAAATGCTTACCTTAATGAATTTGACTTGTACAACCATTGGAAATTTTCTCAATTTACTCATTCTCCAGATACTTGGATATCAGCCGCACTCTAAGTTTGAGTGGTTATGTTACTACTCTGTTTGTTCGAACCAGAAACTTGGTGGCAAAAAGTCAAACTCCTTAACCATCAAGCCATCTCTCTTCAGGGTATCTTTAAATACCTGTTATTTGCAGCTGACATATAGTAGTATCCAACACTGATTATATATAAATTCAAAAACAGAATATTTGAGCGAACAATTGCTTTCAACAACTTCATCACCAGACTCTACAGTTATAAGTTCACAATTATTACCAGAAGAAGTATATCCAGCCTCTATGCTTGGCTTGGTCTACGACTGGATCACCAGATACATAAACTAGATATTATGAACCTCTTATTCCCTCTACCAATTCCTTTGACTTGTATACCTTTCTTAATCTACACGTCGGTCTTTCCCAATTCACATGGATTCATTTTTGAAGTACTTATCTTGATAATACCTTTCTTATTACTTAGTATAGTCACACAACGTTACTAATATTATCATTACTATTATTACCTTGATTAACAAGATGAAATTCTCCTACTATGCATTTTATCCATACGATTTTTATTCTATTATTATATGACTATTGTACTGAATATGATTTGACTACTACAAATCATTCTAACCTTTATTAAGTGATACTTATAAATAACACCATTTTTAACTAATTATTTTGTAACAGATGCAATCATTCACCATTTTTAACATATGATATTATCAAATTCATTAATGCATCCCTAATTGTGAACTTATAACTGTAGGGTTTGATGATGAAGTTGTTGAAAACAATTGTTCGCTCAAATATTCTTTGAATTTGAATATATATATATTCTCTACGAAAGAAAGTTGCTTAGGAAATAAGGCTAACAAGCTTTAACATAATAGACTCATAAATTTCACGAATAAGTCATCATAATTATATTCATCCGTCAGTTTGAATTTGTCATAACAAGTATGGTGCAAAATGTTTGGGAAAATATTAATTAATTCCATTTAGCTATTGGATGATTTGATAATAATTGCAAGCATAACTCATGATAAATTTAACCTGTATATTTCGAATGTTTACCGTCGAACTATAATTCAAACTATAATTTCGTATATTCAGAAACGAGAATAGTTGTGAACTACTGTGGCAACCTAAAGTTAACGGTTATTTCTTTTTTTATCTGTAAATCTGATCTTAAACACTTAATTGCAAATTTAAGAATGATAACTTAAACATTTCGACACGTCCTCATACTATATTTTATATGGCAGTTATCAAGTAACTTAAAGTATCTTTTCTCCTTGTGGATTGTGTTTACTGAATGTATTCATCCAATTTAAATCAGATCTAGCTTTATTCATCTGTGAATTATACTTGTCTCGTCGTGTACATTAAACTCACAAAACACTGACAAAGCATAAACGTTTTTCACTTGAGAAATTTATAATACGTTTTTATTAAAGCGGATTAATATTTAGATAAGTTAGACTATTTAATAATTTCATATTTTGTAAAACTTAGATCAATTTAACATCTTAGTTTATAAAAGCTACTTCGTAATGCAAAATTTATTACCAACCAAATTGTTTTACACTTGAATAAATCTACAACTGTTGCTTCAATATAAAATTTACATAATACATCCAATGACGGTTGTGTTAGTATTCATTATTATTCTAGTTAGATGTTAAAAATTGACACCATGTATTGTTTGTCTTCCATTCTGCCTTGTTCTATTATTCCTACTTCGTATTAAAATAAAAACTCGTTTTTTCTTCTCATCTATAATACTAGTTTATATCATATATAGTGTTTTGTGTTGTGAATTTGTCAATAATAATTCATATTTTGATGCCAAACATGTTTTCTATTATAAGTTAGATAATCAAACTCATTATAAATAAATAATATATTTGTAAAATCCCAATGAGTAGAAAATTAGATTTTCTGACGTTTCGTGACTTAGTGTAAGTCACTTCCAAGTTTAAACTTGGATTAATTTTAATTTGGTTATTTATTCTCTGAAGAAGTGACTTACACTAAGTCACAAAACGTCAGAAAATCTAATTTTCTACTCATTGGGATTTTACAAATATATTATTTATTTATAACAATCTACCCAATGCTCAATTTATTCGAAATTATCAAACCAAACCTTGGTAATGATACATACAAATCAAACTCATTGTTAATGATTTTTATTGTCACTCAATCAACGTTATTTCTTTTTTATACATCCGACTATCCTAGATGTTTGTCCGTTTGTAGTTTAAATACGTTTATAGAATATCTAAACATGTTGCATATGGTTGTACGTATATATTTTATATTTATTCACAAATACTATTAACACATATTTTGTTGGTTTGTTTGTATTTCCTAATATCATATTCTATTATTCTTGTTTATCTACTTTATAAAGCCATCAACGGATGGATTGTTGGAATCGTCTGAGAAAAATCCAACATTCAATCAAGAAGAGATTAAAAATGTGTAACATGATATATATATATCTGAAAATATTTTATCTCACTGTTGTTTCAAAAGTTTTAGTTACCTTTTTTTAAAAAGCCTAAAGATGAGCTTGTTTCATTTGTTTGCTCTAAGTAACTTCTTATTCCTTGATTTCTTTTGTTTATTATTATTACAAAGCATAAATACCTTAATTTTTACTTTCAATAATGAATTCTCCAAAACTTTCGTTTCATCTCTTTCCCTCTTTTTATTCTTTGCAAATAGAAATGCATCATTTTTGGAATGTTTTTTGTATCATAATTTCTTTACTTCCAAATAAATCAGTAAAAAAATTTCAAAGTTCTACGTTTTTTTAAATTTCATTAGTGGATTATTTGAGATTTCGGTCGCCATTATTCAACTTTTTATTCAACACATTGCTTTAGTACTGATTTGCGGTTGATAAAATATTAAAACCGATCGATAGCTTCTACCGTTGACGTTTTAGAATTTTACAGATCTTGTATTCTTTGAGCAAACTGATTAATTTGTGAAATCAGATATTAAAATGTCTTCACAAATGTCTATCGGCTTCTTCTGTTGTCATGGATTTTACCCAGTTCTTCTTTGTAATTGTGTAATTGTAAGGAACTGACAACGTTGTTTACAAAGTCCTGGGAACTAGAGAGTGTTCCAACGTCATGGAATGAGTCGATAGTTGTCCCTATCTTTAAGAAGGATTCATGTCGTTTCTGTAACAACTATCGGGGGATAAGTCTACTTCCAACTGCGTCCAAGCTATTGGCTTCCGTCATACTTCGTAGGTTGTTCAAAACCCGAGAAAGATTGACCCGCGAGGAGCATGTTGGTTTTCGTTCTGGTCGAGGATGTAGTGATCATGTATTCACCCTCCGCCAAATGTTAGAACACTGTCATACTTATCACAGGCCAACAACCGTGGTGTTTCTTGACATCAAGATTGCCTTCGATTCGTTGGACAGGACTGTTCTCTGGGATTGTCTGTTGGAGAAGGGTGTGCCTGGGAAGTTTATTAACACCTTGAAGGCACTATATACAAACGCCTCGGGCAGAGTGAGCTCATACAACCACCTCTCTCCATTGTTCCATTCGAGCAGTGGGGTTAGGCAGGGTTGCCCAATCTCACCATTCCTCTTCAACTTTGCCATTGATGACATTCTGGAAACAACTCTGATGGATGCAAGTAATGGTGGTGTGGATCTGTTGCCTGGAGAAAGACTTCTCTACCTTGAGTATGCGGACGATATTGTCTTACTGTGCGATAATGCCCAAGGCATGCAATCCCCACTTAATCAGTTGGCAATCAATGTCCGTAGGTACGGTATGTGCTTTGCACCTCAGTCAGTCGGTCAGTAACAACGTAGAACTTCGTACGTACGTACGTACATCAGCTCGAGTTGCCACACCACATGAGCACAGAGATGAGGTCGTCCATTCAAATCCCATAGTGATAGAGGCGGTAAGAGTATAAGCAGTAATCGGAAAGATTAAGGTTTGAAAATGTTATTTAAAGAGTATAATCCAGTGAAATAAATTTGGAAAGAGAAAAAAAGAGACATGGAGAATTCAAGAGATCAGAATTTGCACCTTCGAAGTGCAAAGCACTTCTACAAGACTGGCAGGATTCTAATCCTGTACTCACCCTGGATGATGAGTAGATAGAAGTAGTCGAGAAGTTCGTGTATCTAGGTAGCTGTATGTGCTGGTGGTGGCGTGAGTGATGAGGTCGATTCACGTATAATGAAAGCCAGAGTGGCTTATGCCAATCTGGGCCATCTCCATGCTCTCATTTGATTGACCGAGTCTATTTTAATGTGTCTTGATCGATGAGTGAACAGAGTACCATATTTATAAGAATTGTGGTTAAGTTTGTGTTTTCTCTGTCCAGTATTTCGACATTTCCTCAGTTGCACTAATGTCCATAGTTATCCACGTGCATCTGTACAAGTGGAGGTATGTAATTGTCTTTAACAGATAGATATTGCTCACCTATATCTCGTTATATAAATTATTGATTTTTCATGTAAAACTTGAACTCAAGAAATCCACAAGTAATTTTCTCAAGCTATCACATCTATAATATGTGACTAGTGTGTTTGTAGGTTACACTCTCTATTTGTATAGTTGACTTCCTCGGTCACTGTAATTGATGGAATGAGTAATTTTTGTGTGGTTATTGCGTTATATATCCCTGAACGGTACCATCATACCGGTCTTCGGTTTTGAGTCAAAGTATTTAAATATGATCTTGTGTCTGATAATTAGACAATAAATTTCATTAACAAGGAGAAATAAGTTCCTTTTAAGGCGTTGAGATTGGAATGGAAATGCGTCCACTCAAATTCTCCAAAACAACATGAACGAGTATCAAACCTCTTGATATGGCGTAACCATCTCAAATTATTACTCAATATGATCAAAGCTTTGTGATTTTGTAATCTTTGCTTTCACTTTTTTGATGGTACAGTTTCATTTCAATTATTTCGTAACTTTACTCATCCATTAATTAGGAAATGTGGAGTAAGGAAATCTAGTTCCCATCTAAATTATGTTGTCACTTGTAATCCCAAGTGTTATCGAGACTTAGGGCGCCACTCGGTTGCTAACTTGCTCTTTCAACGGTGGGTTGAATAATGGTCTCATCGTATCACTTGAATGAAGTTGAAATCGGACTCCCTTATTCCATTGTGTCGTACTCGCTGGTTATCATAAATGGACAACAACTGCTACACGAGGATGATTCAGGTGCATGTTACTTCCTAATTTGATGAAGTTTACCTTCGATTTGAACTGATCTAGTCGTATCCGAGGAAGATTGAATTATTGGTAACCTTCGGAAACTATTTATAGACTGTGATAATATATTTGTGTTTCTCTTTTCATTTGACCTATTAGCTACTATTATACGATTTACTATCCTTAATTCATTCCCAATCTACTGGTTACAGTCTCCCACACACAGTCACTTTTGGATTGAGTTTGTATACCTGTTATTTTCCATTTTGTGGTGTGATCCGATCTGCTCTACTTGTGTATGAACTAATTATGTCTGAAATATATGATTCATACAGTGGAAGCTGATAGTGTTCTGAACTCAACGACAGGGCTAGGCAAGAAGCGGCTATATTAAGGATCAATAAGGATTCTGAGTGCTAGTTCTTGGTTTAGCACAAGAACAAGTTCATAGAAGTCAATATCCCAACTGGCGATTTTGTCACATGATAATTGACAAGGGCAGAAAACATTCTCAAGATACTATGAAACTAAATATTTCATAATGATTAGTAATCGAACAAGTAAAACTTCGCTCATGTAATTAATGCATATCTCACAAAGCTTCTTATGATAAAAGATAATCATTGACTTAAATCTGTGGTGTAGAGCGAATCAATAATTAAAATACATTCTTTTCTATTTCCCCTTGTATAATTACTTCCTGTAATAAATACCGCGTTGGAAACGTTGTACCCACCTGGTTAATATTCTTAAATCTATACAGACATTAAGGTTTCAGATATTTTCCAATTGTTGAAATTCATGATTATATCTTATATGGTCCATCAAAGGATTTACTTGGTGATTAAATTATTAAATATCGAAAAAACATTACGAAGTGTACATGAAGTACAAACATGGGTATCTCTTGAACAACATTTTAAAATACACTTCCCAAAGATATTTATTTACAACACGACCAGTACATATTTACTCCCATCATGTGTTTACTAATCAGGTGAGCTGCTATTAACATAATTCACACTGAAGATTTTAGTGCATTTATCTTAATATATATCCTGTGTTTATTGATCCATAATGATCACATGGTATCCCTAATGCCTGAAATAATAACGAATACAATTGTAAAGGCTTAAAATGGAATTCTAGATGGTCTTACAATTTTTTGGCTACTGATTTATATCAATTTGTTAAATCTTGTAAATTAAATGGATTCTATAAGAATTTGTCCCGTTTAAGTATAATTGTTCATAGAAGTTAGTTGGTCTTACTGATGCCCTTTGTTATGTGTCAAAGTGTTACCTATGATCCTCTGAATGATTTAATTCGTGTCGTAGTTTTACTCACTGATCGACTTGAATTCCTTTGATTAAAATAAAGCTCTGTGATCGGTATTCCGTTCAGTCTATACTGACTCAAATGAAAATATCGTTTACAAGTAATCCCCGCTAAGTTCGAATTGAGCATCCTTCAGTATTTCACATATATATGTATGAATTACACTATCAAACAGTATTGTAAAGTAAGAGAGAAACAAAATGATTAGCACACAACAATCTACTCTGAGAAAAACGTATGCCATTAGACACTGTGTGGATTAAAACTTAAAGTTCTACTATATCTAGCGATATCGTGAGTGCGCACCAGCAGCCTCAGAAGCAGTAGGTCGAACATATACAAAGGAAAAGCCATGATTCTCCGATACAGCACAAGCTCACCAATCGAATCACACTTTTCGGAGAAGCTTTAGAGAATGTAAAATTCTTTACACATTTGGGCAGCATCATTGATGAACACTGTGGATCTGATGCAGATGTGAAAGTGCGGATCGGAAAAGCAAGAGCAGCATATCTATAACTGAAAAACATCTGGAACTCAAAACAATTGTCAACCAACACCAAGGTCACAATTTCCAATACAAATGTCAAGACAGTTCTACTATATGGGGCAGAAACCTGGAGAACTACAGAAGCCGTCATCCAGAAAATACAGGTGTTTATTAACAGTTGTCTACGCAAAATACTTCGGATCCGTTGGCCGGACACTATTAGCAACAACGTACTGTGGGAGAGAACAAACCAGATCCCAGCGGAGGAATAAATCAGGAAGAAGCGCTGGAAGTGGATAGGACACACATTGAGGAAAGCAGCTAACTGTGTCATAAGCCCCCCTTGGAATCCTCAATGCCAGAGGAGAAGAGAAGGACCGAAAAACACATTACTCCGAGAAATGGAGACAGATATGAAAGAGATGAACAAGAATTGGATGGAATTAGAAAAGAAGGCCCAGGACAGATTGGGTTGGAGAATGGTAATCGGTGGCCTACGCTCCATTGGGGGTAACAGGCGTAAGTAAAGAAAATCGTAATTGTGTCTCAGTTGACTGATGAGTGAACAGTGCACCATGTTTTTAAAAATTGTGGTTGAGTTAATGTTTTCTTTCTAATAACATCGTTTACTGACGCCATTTATTTGTATTTAGAATGAGCACAAACATTTGATCTCAATAGCATATGTAGATAGGGTAACCTATCTGAAGACACTCAATAAAGTATCTATGTTTTATGGATTCCAGAACATACTCTTTCTT